GTCCAAAAAAACCCCAAATAAATAAGTAAATAAATTTTTTAAAGTAGGAGATATTTTGCAGGCAACATCATCTTATAATTGGCAGCATGTTTTCTAAGTTATACGTAAAATAGCAGTGCATATTAAATAATGGTACCTCCTACTACAGTCAATGACATCTTAGATTTAGAGAAATATAATAGTACATGCTCAGTAAATATTCACAAAATAAAATTGTTGCAAAGGAACATTTAACTTCTCAGCAATTATTTTTAAATTATTACATTAAAAATAACAAACCATACAAGCATGTATTTCTTTGACAGCTTTACCTTACATTTCCATTTCCCTAGCATTAATTTTGTTAGTGGACACGTAAAAGAAGGATTATTTTTTTTTAATGAAGTAAGACAGTTAAACTGTTCCAGGTTTATCCTAAGCAATGATTTTCCTGTTTTCTATATGTTTGTAGTTTAACGATATTCCAGGTACAAACAATATACTTTAAATTGTACTTTTAATATTGAAACTGCACTGAAAGTTGTGGATACTGCCTGAAAAACCTGACATCTGCTTTCTTTATATTTATCTCTTCTATAATAGTGTTATTTTTAAAAGACACTCTAATGTAAAAATTGAATTGCTGAAGTAACATCACAAAGCAGGACTTTAGCTAAATTGATCTTCCATTGAAAGAACTAGTTAAAAATGCATGAAATCCTCTGGAAACTCTTGGACATTGAAATTGTCCAGTCACCAGATATTTTTTTTTCAAGAGAAATTCATCTTTGATGCTCTTCTGTTTAAACTACAGACAGTTAATTCACCAGCAATGATCATGGTAGAAGCGGGCAAATGGTTCACCAGCATTGTCAGGGAATTGACTGTATTCAGAAATAAATTCTCCAGGAAAAAATAAATAAGTAAATAAATGTTATGCAGTTTCTCTGCCTGGAATTTTCTTCATTTATATTAGCCACTCATTGTTTATCTGTTAATAAATGAATGCCGTGATGGCTGTTGGGGAGAAGGAGTTATATTTAGTCTTCTGAAGCTTCTTTTTTTGGAAATACTGATACAATCTATCATATAATACACATGGTTATTGAAAAGGCACTGTGGCCTAATTAAAAGAACACAGGCTTTAGAGTCTTATAGAATTGGGTTTAAATCCCAATTTAACCACTTACTATGTGACTTGATTTCATTATTTAGCCTAGCTGAACCTCAGTTTCTTCCATTGAGAAATTGGAAAATAATATCTAGCTTGCCAAGCTGTTGTGAGCATTATGAATAACATATGTAAGGTGCCTAAGAGACTCAATAAATTGTAGCAGTTATCATTATCTTCAGTTATTATGATTGTCAACCATATTTTTTCATAAGAAACCCTTTGCCTTTTCAGGAAGTATTTATCTAAAAATAGGGACAGTCTGATCTACCATATTAAAATAAAGCTCAGTCTAAGCGCTCTGATTTAGCATGGTCCTTGCCAAGAAGAGTGGTGTCCAGAAACTTCATTGAACTGACCTTCCTAAACCTTGATCTTGTGTAACAGAAATGGAGCATCAACAAAAATTTGATCATTGTCTTTAAGTTAACTAGAAATTACTATTGTTTTCTTTAACACAGTTAAAAAGCTCAGCTTTTTTAAGCTTCTACTTTTTTCCTTTCATTTAAGAAAATGTGGAATCCATATCACAAGTGGCTTCAAAGGCACTCCCATTTCCTATGCTGCTTATGTAAAAGTTCTATGCAAACTATTTCCCATTTCCTGCTGCTTATGTAAAAGTTCTATGCAAACTATTATATTCTACAGTAAGCGTTGACAGTTTTTATATAAAAGACCACATAAAAAGTGGTTTAGGCTTTGCAGGCTGTACATTGTCACAATTACTCAACTTTGCCATTGGAACATGAAAGCAGTCACAGACAGTATATTAATGAACAGGCATGGCAGTGTTCCAATAAAGCTCTACTAAAACAGGCTGCTAGCAGAATTTGGCCCGTGGACCATCATCGTTTGCCAACCCTTGCTCTATAGCATTCTGACTTAGCAATGAGCCTGTCACCATGGCTCATAGGACTTATGTAGTGCATCTTGCAAAAGTCTTGGACATAGATGAGACTATCTGAAGCTAGTATTTAGAGAATGCTTCCCAGACCATAGAACTGTGCTGTGCTTGGAATACCTTTAATCCTGTGCTTCTCTACTAGAGCTATTTATTCTACCATCATATGGCCAACTATCTTCTTGTTTGTGACAAGATGCTTACTACTTATAGGCCTTCCCATTCCTGCTTCAAATCTGAGCTACTCCCTTTCTTATTGCTATTGAATTGAGTTTTCTTGTTTTTATTTTTCCAACGTGTCTAAATTTTTGGTTTCTTCTTTCTTTACTCCCCTGTCCCTGCTGTTTCTCCTGTATAACTCAGTGATCTTCTGAGCAGCTTAGATTTTTTGCCTGTTGCCAGTAAGTGAGAGGCTTTCTATTCTTCTGATAGTGAATGAAGCCATCAGATAGTATCTGACAGAAACCCCAAGACTTGGTCTCTTCTCAGTCCTTTTTGTGACTACTCGCTACACAAAGATTCTTTGTTTGTTGACTAAGTTTCTTTTTTGCTTTAATTTGCTTTACCTTCATTTATTTATCTAACAAGTTTTTGGGGTACTACCTACTATGTAACAGGTACTGTTCTCAGCACTGGGAATTCAATGATAGACAATAATATATGTTTTCCCTGCCTTCATAAAGTTTAGCAAAGAGAACACACTTTAAATAAATAAATATACACATAACTATGGTTTTGACATGTGGTAGAAAGGAAGAAAATCATTTGCAATGACAAAATGTAATGGGAGACCTAGTCTGAGAGGTCAGGGAAACCTAAGGAAGTGATTGTAAATATGTAATAAACCCTGAATAAATATCTGTGAAATTAATGCAGAAATACAATTATGTTTGAGATGAAACCAGGAGGATTGCCAAGAATTAGCCAGATTGAGTTTAGGGAATGAAAGAGAGAAAAGAGTCCAGACAGAGAAAAGAGCATGTGTGAAAGGCTCCCAGCTTGGTTCTTTCAGTGAAGCAAAAGATGGCATGAGAAGAGAAGGAAAGAGGTTGCTTCTCAGAATAAGGCTCTGGAGGTAGCCAGGGCTGTCTTAATGAAGGCCAATGGGCTATGTCTAAGGATTTTGACTTTGTCCATAGGAAGCCATTGATGCTTACATGATGAATTCCTAATTCCACATGGTTTTAAGTACCTTAAGTTGCCAAAAGTTCAAGCTCTAGAAACTTTCTAGAGTATACCTCCTGAAAAATCAAATAAAATAAATATGAACCAGTTCTTTTTCTCTTCTGCATTTGAGACAGATGTAAATCCATTTGTTCGTACTGCAACTTTCAAATTTCCACTTGTTAACAGTTCATGTCCCTATAATACCAGTATCTATTTGGTGAGTATAGAGCATCCTATTGAGAGGTCAATAAAAAATATTTGTAGAATCTCAGACGGACACATTCCAGGGATACAGAGATCATTTAGTCAAGACTATGATAGGACCCTCCAAAGTGCCACAGATGAATAACTATAGTTGTCTTCTTCTTAAGTGCTGCTGATTACTTAATGTTCACAACTTTTCAACCTTGTCCATCTTAGTTTTGTGTTTTGTTTTTTAACCATGTTGGCTTTTCACAAATTCTTCCTTCTATGAATGCGAATGTCTTCCTTATAACTTCTACCTTTAGCCCAAGTTGTCATTTTAGAAGTGGTTCATAGATAAACCTTTACTTAAAAACTAATGTGCTCTAATGAAACTAGAGATTAGATTTTGAATTAGAAAGTCAGACTGTGTGAAAAATCCATTAGGGTAAGCACAGTAGAATGAAATAGTGACTTATCTTCTATGCTGTAATAACTAAAAAATAGCATAAAATTAACTGTACTCAGAACTAGAGTCTTGTTTCTTTCCTTTGGTCAACAAACGGAGCACCTAATATGTGAATAGCATTTTATTACATATTCTGGGGGAATAAATAAGAGTAATAGTATTCAGGTTATAAGATCTTGCTGTCTTAGCGCTTATGATTTCTTGTGAGAGAAAAGATTTGTATGTTTATGTAAGTGCAGTAGGTGAGCATGAGCTGAATGAGCAGTATACCAAGGGAGAGCTATAGGAGTTCCCATAAACAGATCAGGGTGGGCTGGGTAGAGTAAATCCTCTGTTAAGAAATACCACACTCACTGAGTTTCTCTTTCAAATGGGATGGACCAGGCCTTATTTGTTATTTATCCTTCTCTTCCTCCCTTCCATTTCCTCTGCTACCTCCACCCCTAGCTGTTCTTTGGCCTGGATGAGCCCTCAAATGGTGTTTATTGAATAGAATTATCTTATCCCCCATACTACGTGAGTGATGTTAAGATGTTCCCGGTGGCTCACTTGGGAGAGTGCGGTGCTGATAACACCAAGGCCCCGGGTTCGGATCCCATATAGGGATGGCCGGTTCGCTCACTGGCTGAGTGTGGTGCTGACAACACCAAATCAAGGGTTAAGATCCCCTTACCGGTCATCTTTTAAAAAAAAAAAAAAAAAAAAAAAGATGTTCCATTCCATAGTAATCTTTCTGGTCTTCATTCTACTTTTTTTTTGCTTTCTGAATTTTTTAAATGAATATGTATTTTTAAATAAAAACATACAAATGCACAAAGATAATCATACCTATTGTGAGAAAACAGGAAAAAGCCAGTCTTCTGAAGATATGTAGGAAAAAAAATTTTTTTTCTTCTACTCTTTTGATATGGGTTCTGTTAGGAGCTTTGCCAGTGTACATTAAATGACCAGCAGCTTCTTCTGAATGGTTATCCTGGGCCTACTTTAGAGATTAAAATAAGTGGATTATGTGGCATGATGACAGTAATGAGCTATTGATTTAGCAGCAAAGCTTTGCTTATAGTTCCTTATTTCTCTATCTGCCTGATTTTTTTCAAGAACCACTTTATCATGTTTCTTTTTTCTTCCAGCGGAACGGAAGCCTCCTCTTTTCAACATGAATGCAATGAGTGCCTTATATCACATTGCTCAAAATGACTCCCCAACATTACAGTCTAATGAATGGTAAGACTCTGTTGTTTTAAATCTCTAAAAAATCACCATATGTATTTGATACTTTCATTAACTTACATTTTAAATATCTGACCTAGAAAGCATTTCATTCCTTCATCGTATTTTATAATTAATAAGTGACACTGGTGCCTCACAAGCATTAACTGTCTGTATGTGCACACACACACACACACACATGCATAGATTTATTGATTTATGCCATCACCATGGCTTGCACTGTGTTCTTAATGTGTATAACTGATATCCTACAGGGAACGTGCCTGCTACCTTCCTAACTAGTCTAGTCTCCCAAGTTATGACGGTTTGTATTGATTATCTCATTTCTGACCAATTCTCAGCCAAGAGAAATGGAGTGCCCTCTCTGATGTCATTATTTTTCCAGTTGTCATTTTTTACTATATATGTATTTAAATGTGTTAAGACAGATCATATACTATCTATTCAGAAGATGTATTGTTCCTTGCTGAAAATTATGATTTCTTTTTAACTATTTGGGCCACAAGAGTTATACAAAAAGGGCAATTTGAAAGAAGAGTGGACAAAATGGAACTTTCAAGATAGGAAGTATTTTTATGCAGAAGCATATACCTAGGTTCTCCATCCCTTATGCTTCAAGTTTTACTGCCTTGTTTTGAGTAGTGCAGGAGTTAATAAATGGTAAGTAAGAATATCGGCTTAAGAGTAGGAGAGTTATCTTGGAAAGAAAAATATGTGTAAAACTATTACATATAAACATAGTATAGTATTTTTCATTTTCTGTTATATATTATGATTTCACCTTACTTCTTTACACATTAAGATATATTTATATGTTGACTGACTTGAAACTGTTTACACTCATTATCCAAAAGAATTAATTTTAGATACCATAAACTTGAATATCAGTTCTCCTGATATTCCAAAATATCTTATTAAGAAATCTCCTAAAATGCTAAATTTTCTCTTAAATGAAAATTGTTTTAAGTAATCTGTGTGCTCTACAGACTCTGATTTTATTTATTTATTTATTTATTTTATGTGTTTGCACACACAGGACAGACTCCTTTAGGAGATTTGTTGATTACTGCTTGCAGAAAATACCTCAGGAAAGACCTACATCAGTGGAACTATTACGGGTAATTTTTATAATTTATATTTGAGGAGGGGGATTTAAAGTCATGTTATAGTGAAATACAGTAAATCATTCCTGTGGCAGCTCATCATGACAAAGTGATTTAGAATATGCTGCTTTAGGGCCGGCCCGGTGGCGCACTGGAGAGTGCACCACTTGGGAGCGCGGCGGCTCTCCCGCCGAGGGTTCGGATCCCATGTGGAGACCGGTTCCCGCTCGCTGGCTGAGCGAGGTGCGGGTGCAACACCGAGGGTTGCGATCCCGTTGCCGGTCCCCAGTACGGGTGTGACACTGAGGGTTGTGATCCCATTACCGGTCAGTAAATAAGACAAAAAAAAGGAAAAAAAAAAAAAAGAATATGCTGCTTTGTCATGTATCCAGAGATAGTAGCGAGGCATAGAAGTAGCAAGATTATCGCAATGTACGTGCTATTCCCTGCGGATAGTTTTTTCCCTATCTTTTCTTTTTTTTTTCCTTCCCCTCCTTTTTTGCCTTATAACAAAGAATTTTTCTCCTTCTTGCTCTCATCGTTATAGTAGTATTCCTATGACTAACATCTGCATGAACTCTAATACAGTATTCTCAGGACAGTCTGAGAATGGTTCAAATGCCAACTCTGGGTTTTTGATTAGGTTGTTGTTGCCAAATCTGCAGGCCGTGGAGATATGTGATAACTATAAAGCAGACATTTAAATAACATCATGTCATACATGTTAGTGAGAAGACTATCATGTTAACTGCATTAATTTGATTTAAACATCACATTTTTGAGCATCTCTTTTCATGTAATATTTTCTATAGACTTTATTCATAGGTGATGTTTTTCATCAACATTGGTGTAGTATGTGGTAATCTTTTACAATGTAAATATCTTTTACTTGGCACAGGATAATCCATATTTCTTTAACCTTTTTTATGTATTTATGTTTTTTCAGTCTTTTTTGTTTGTTTCATCTCTAGAATGGCTAGATTTTGTTACTGAGCAGTTTTTTTATTATTTCATGAGCAAATAAATTTTAATTCAAGAATTCAAGATTGCTTCAACATTATGAAACCTATTAATGTAATTTACCACATTAAGGGATTCAAAAAATTTATACACACTCATGTATGTATATATATAATTTTTTCAGTGAATATGAGTAATACATTTGATAATTCAATGCCAGTGCCATTCATGGTACAAATTAACAAAATAGGAATGAAAGATAATAGTTCCTTAACCTAAAGAATTATCTTAAAATACCTACAGCACACATCATATTCAACTATGAAATATTAAAAGTATTTCCTTAAATATCAGGAGTAAAAAACAACAAGAATGTTAGCTATGATTACTTCTATTAAGCATAGTACTAGAGGTCTTAGCAGATACAATATAGAAAGAAGACAGATTGGAAAAGGAAAAAGAAAACTACGTTTTTTAGGAAAAACTCAAAAGGGTTATATTGCCTAAATTTGTAAAGCTTAAAAATGTCAGCTGCCTTTATAACTGAAAAGCACCTTGCCTCAATCACAAATTCTTGGTTTCCATTTTTGTTTTTTTCCTTCAACTCTGTAAACGTTTTGCTGTTATTTTCTGGCTTTGAGTGTTCCTGAATCCAACTAGTTTTCCAATTAAAAGTAAGTTTTTTCTATTTGTGAGTAACCAGCCATAGGAATATGGTAACAGAAGCAACAGGGCAAAGGGCCCCACCTTGTTCTCCTGTGTTGCAGAGATGTCACATGTTCTACATGTGACCCACTTTGCATTCCTTAACAACAGCTCCACATTTCTGTAGGGAAAAATAGTAACGAGAACAAAACACCAGAAACACAAGACAATATCTTTATTACTTTGAAATAGGCAAAGAGTAAAAAAACAAACAAAAAAATAGTACACAAAAAGCACTACCATGAAGGGGAAAAAAATTAGTAAATTTGAGCTGTATTAATATTAAGAGGAAGAAAATCTCAAATAAGATATTACAAGGATTTAATGATAAAATTGTAGGGCTATGGGGCCGGCCCGGTGGCGCACTGGATAGTGCGCCGCTTGGGAAGCGCGGCGGCGCTCCCGTCCGAGGGTTCGGATCCCATGTGTAGACCGGTTCCCGCTCACTGGCTGAGCGAGGCGCGGGAGCAACACCGAGGCTTGCGATCCCGTTGCCGGTCCCCGGTCCGGTACGGGGGCAACACTGAGGGTTGCGATCCGTTGCCGGACACGGAAAAAAGACAAAAGACAAAAAAAATAAAATAAAATAAAATTGTAGGGCTATGGACATTAAAAGGATATAAAAAGCAAGTGGGGACTGTCTGGTTAGCGCAGTTGGTTAAGACGCAGCTTTGTAACACAGAGGTAAAGAAAGAAATGGAAGAGAAAAAACAATAATAGGTTAATCATATTTTAAGCAACAAACTAATAGAGTAAACCAACCCATTTAGGGCGTTTCTAAAGGTGGATAGGCTTAAGGAAATAAAACAAAATTAAGTGCAAAAAATAAAAGTTCTAAAGGTGATTCTTGAGTAGATAATACATGTGGAAGACAAAGGAGATCTTACATATGCCAACCTATTATTCCTGAAAAAGAAAACAAAACACATGGAGCAGAAGATATTTAAAGATATACCAGGAGAAAACTTTTCTGGAAATAAATATTTAGATCTTTCTTTGATTTGATTTGATAGGCCAAATCAAATGGACCCACTATCTATTCAACAAATATTTACTGATTGTCTACTATGCGTCAAGCACTATTCTAAACACTGAGAATACAGTAATACACAAGAAAAAGATACTCACTACCCTTGTGGAACTCATGTTCTAATGTGGGAGTAAGAAAATAAATAAATATGATATAATGCCAGGTGGTGGTAAACTCTTTGCAGAAGAATAAATCGGTAAGGATCAAGAGTGACAGGTGTTGCTGTTTTAGAGAAGGAGTTACGGGAGGCCTTTTAGGGAGATAACATTTAAGCAGAGCCCTGAAGAGAGGGGACAGTGAAACTGATCTTTAGTTATCAATAAATAATATCTTGGTGAAGTTCCTGAACACTAAGGATAAAGAAAGATTTATACAAACAGATCGAAAAAGTTTATTTTGGGGTGGGTGGAAAAACCAGTTATCTTCCAGACATACCTCTTCAAAAACACTCTAACCCAGGGCCGGCCCGGTGGCGCACTGGATAGTGCGCCGCTTGGGAAGCGCGGCGGCGCTCCCGCCCAAGGGTTCGGATCCCACATACGGACCGGTTCCCGCTTGCTGGCTGAGCGAGGCGCGGGAGCAACGCTGAGGGTTGCGATCCCGTCGCCGGTCCCCGGTCCGGTATGGGGGCAACACTGAGGGTTGCAATCCGTTGCCGGACACGGAAAAAGACAAAAAGACAAAAAAAAAAAAAAACCCTAACCCCAAAAAAAAAAAAAAACCCTAACCCCAAAAAAAAAAAAAAAAAAAAAAAAAAAAAAAAAAAACACTCTAACCCAGAAAACAATAGAACAAATATTTGCAGAGTTGAAGGAAAAGAAAATGTAAACCAAGAATTTGTAACCCAGCCAAGGTGCTCTTCAATTGTAAAGTCAGCTGACATTTTCGAGCCTCACAAATTTAGGAAATGCAACCCTTCTGAGCTTTCCTTTAAAAAATTGCTCAGTAATAAAATCCAGCCAATCTAGAGATAAAACAAAAATGAAGAAAAAGAAAGAAGGAAGGTGGGAGGAAGGAAAAAAGGAAGACAGGAAAGCAGAATGAATTAGGGACTGGAGAAACTGGTAAAAGGACTGATGATGAATACTGAATTTAATTGGCCTCCCCCAAATATTTATTTATTTATTTATTTATTTATTTATTTATTTATTTATTTATTTATTTATTTTACATGGCTAGAGAGACTATGCGTTCTTCATTTTGAATAAGTAATACAAATTTCAAAGGGTAAAAATATAGTAGAAAGTAGAATGTGAAAAGTAAATCTTCCCATTCCAGGCCCCTCTCTAGAGTTAGCAACCATTGTCACCAATTTTTTGCATGTCCTTCCAGAAATATTTTATGCATGTAAAAGTAAATATTTTTATTTTTGCACAAATGGTAGCAAACTATAAAAACTGTTGTACCTTGATTTTTTTTTACCTTTATAATGTCTTTAAGATATTGTTCCATATTACTCTATGCGGAGCTACCTCATTCTTTATAATGATCCCATAATATTCTCAGGTGACTACAACTTGTTTAACCAACACATGAACACATTTAGGGTGTTTCCAATCTTTTGCTATTACAAACTGTGCTGAATGCTATTTTTATCTGTATACTTTTTTTGATGTGATTGTTTTAACATGCTAATGACTTTGTTTTGTGTCTTTAAAAAAAGCTGTGCTGAAATGAATATCCTTGTATGTATATATGTCGTTTTGTACCTGTATAAGGATATCTGAAGAATAAATTCCTAGAAGTGGAATTGCTCATCAAAGGGAACAGGGATTTTAAATAGATATTGCCAAGTTGCCATTCAAAGAAGTTACACTAATTTACAGTCCCAATAACAAAATATGGGTACCAAAACTTTTGAACTTTGCTAGTGAGATCAGTGAAAAACTTTTTTTTCTGTAGTTTTAATTTGTATTTCTCATTATGGGAGAGGTTGAGCATCTTTCATATTTCGAAAAGACATTCTTATTGCCTTTTCTGTGATCTCTGCCCAGTTGTTTATTGGGTTGTTATGTTTTCCATATTTATAGTACATCTTTCAAGTATATTTTTCCTATTTCTATTTTGACATTCTTTATTCTGGGCTTTTTGGGAGAAAGAGTAATGCAGAAATTCGTTATAAGGAATTAAGTAAGAATCCAACTTTTTCTTCCCACTTGGCTATCTTGTTATTCCCAAATATTTTTCAATAAACCATCTTTTCCTCATATTTTCTTCCTGACATTAAGATGTCACTTTCACACTGAATCCATTTAAATATAGAACTAAGGTAAAAAGTATTGAAATGGTTAAAGAATAGAAAGTAAATGTTATAAACATTGGCAATATAAAAATAATAATGTAACCAGAAAAAACTAGAGGCAGGAAAGAAATGTAAGTGTACTAACTTTCCTATCTTTCAGAGTAGATGGTCAATAATATTTCTCAAATTGAAATATATAGTTTTAAAAAAAAACCAAAGGTAACTCCTATCAAAGTTTTTCATAGTCTTTTTTCCCTTAATGTTAGTAGTTCATTTAGGAACAAATAACTCTTTTGGTGAAGAAATTATAACTAAAGTTATGCAATTATTTTACTTTAGTTTCTTCTAATTCTGTTAAATTCAAGCATACCTTAATTTATACTTAAGGTATACTTAAAATTAGCATGTACGATAAGATTTTCATGTAAATTTATTACTAGATATCTCGTATTGTTCTGAGAGAGAAAGAAAGAGAGATGACATCTAAAATGATATTCCATAATTTAACATTTATTTCTAGATGGTGGAATTTGGGGTGATTTTTTCTTATATATTTTTCTGTATTATTTGAATGTTCAAAGTAAACATATTTTTAAGAACAATAAGATTATTCTTTTAAAAGGGTCTGGTCATCTTTTAATTGTAGGAGTTTGGAGAACAGAGAGGAGATGGGATTGCAAGCAGAGAGAAGAACATGAGCAAAGGCACATTGGTGTGAAACGCATGTGCATTATCTAGAATGTACTATTACATTCCAATGTATGTACATTATCTAGAATGTACTATGCCTTGGATAGAAAGAAAGAGTAGGAGTGACTAGATTTGAACCTTGAAATACAAGCAGGAACCTGGCTGTAAAAGGTCAGACTTAATCTAAGAGGCAGTGAGATATTTTTAAGATGTTGAATATATCAGCTTTAAAAAGGCTTAAACAGGTACAGGTTTAATTATCTCATGTAATAAGAAATCCAGGACATGGGAAAAGGAGGGCGTGTAAGCAGTTCAGAGCTGTAAGCAGCTCAACAATGTCCTTCTGACCCAAGCTCCTTCTGTCTTCCTACTTCACCATCCTTATCTTTTATCTTCTTTGTCACAAAATGACTGTTACCTTACAGGGACTCAAGGCTTTGTTCCAGGCAGGAAGAAAGGGAAAAGGCAAGGGTTAAAACACCATCTCCTCATGTGCCTTGCTTTTTTATTCCAGAAAACTAAGCCTTCCTTAGGGACTTCTGCCTATCTTTCATTGGCCAGAACTTGGGCACCTTGTTATCTGCAACTGCAAAGAAGGCTTAAGTTCAATTCCTTTACTTTCTGGTGCTTAAAGCAAAGTAAGGCAAGGAAAAGAGGTTGGAATGGGGGATAAGTGGCACACAGTATCTGTCACAATGAATGACATGATCGAATCTGTGTTAGAAAGAAGACTATGGTACTAGAACACCAGAAAACACCCCCTCCCCCCCTGAAAAAGTGTAAATTGCAGTTCTAGTCCTTCCACTAATTAGCTGGGGAAATCATTTAACTTCTCAGGGCCTAAATTTCCTCACCTTGAAAAAAAGAATGTCTAAGAACCATTCCTACTCTAAAATTATGTGATCCTAAGTCATAGCTTGAAGTTTACCAAAAACAGACTTGCACTTATATAATTGCAAGCACTGGAATAGCAAAGTGATTTACTTTCTCCTTTTCTTTCTCATCCTTGAAATGTGCAGGCTACACTCGCTTCTGGGAATAGTCTTTCGTTTTCAGAAAGGACTCTTTGCAGAGGAAGAGATATTTTATAAAAGCAAAAGCCACAATTCCCCTGACAGCAAGTCAGGATGAAGAAGTACTTCAAGACGTGTATATTGTTTTCTCAGAAGAGTCCTGCTCCTCTTTTATATCTGTTTAAATTATAAAGGAATTAAATCCATTCCAATATTAAGGCCCACTACATTATATCTCATTTTCCCAATATCTTCAAATTATAATTTTACATAAGTGAATTTTCCACATAACTGAACTTTGTCCTTTAAAAAACACAACTTCCTCCTCTCACTTTTAACTATTTTCTGTAGTAATCTTGCTGAAATATGTGATGTGCTTCTGTGCCCTCTTAAAAAGAACATAGTGAACATAATTTCAGTCCATGATGGCTCAGAAACAGCAGTGTTTCATGAACTCTGGGGGCATAAAAGGGGCGACGTAAGTAGCATTTGCCCTTTTGCAAAATAGCCCACAAATCTTTGTTCATTTTTATTTGTTTGGTTGGTAGGTGTGTTACTTATGAAGTTTCTCTGTCTACTACTAGTCAGGCTGTCAGAGAACTAACAAAGGACACTTCTTTTTACAACAGATAACTGTACCTCTAATAGTTCTCAATCCTTTATTCCCTCACTTTTAGTCCCTCTTTCTAATCTGCTATGGGCTGAGAAACCAGGAAACCAGAATATGTGTTAACAATCACATTGAAAGTGAAAGCCGAGAATACCAAGAAGAGTTTACAGACTTTGGGGCAGTTATTTCCACTCCTGAGAGGCCCCTTTCCCTTATTTCTGGTTATACAACTCTTTAAAGGAGAAATGAAGTTGCCAGAATTCTGACTTCCGCATAAATTGAACAGCTGACGTATTTTCAAGCATACACTATGTGACCATAGAAATAGAAAACAAAATATACACAAGTCTGTTTATCAAAGGGTAGTGTGAGGTGGGGAGGAGGATTGAGGCAGGTTATAACAAGAATAGACTGTACTGTGTATCCCTTTGCTTATTATATAGTTTCAGGATTGAAAAGTACAAGCGTACCTGCTACTATTTGAAGTTCTAATGATAACTTATATGATAAAATAAGCCTCAAGAATTCCCAAATGAAAAGATTCTCAATCCCACTAATCATCAGGGAAATGCAAATCAAAACTGCAATGAGAGATCACCTTATACGTGTTAGAATGGCTAATATCAAAAAGACAAGATAACAAGCATGGGCACATGTGGAGAAAGTGTACATCCTTGTACACTGTTGGTAGGAATGTAGACTGGTGCAGCCATTGTGGAAAACATTATGGAGGTTCCTCAAAAAATTAAAAATAGAACTACCATAAGATCCAGCAATCCCACTACTGGGTATATACCCAAAGGAAATGAAGTTAGCACTTCATAAAAATATCTGTGCCTCCATGTTTATCATAGCATTATTCATAATAGCCAACATACGGAAACAACCCAAGTGTCCATCGGTGGATGAAAGGATAAAGAAATTGTGGTATGCATACACAATGGAGTATTATTCAGCCTTTAAAAAGGTGATCATGCTGTTTATGATAATATGGATGAAACTAGAGGACATGCTAAGTGAAATAAGCCAGACACAGGAAGAAAAATACTGCATGATCTCACTTATATTTGAAATCTAAAAAAAAAAAAAAAAAGAAACCACACTCAAATACAGAGAAATAGAGAGTATAAAGGTGATTGGGGTTATGAGGAATGGAAATATGGAGGTCAAAGGATACAAAGTTTCAGTAACATAGAATAAATAAATGTAGAGATCTAAAGTACAGTATGAGGATTATAGTTAATATTGTGTTGTATCCTGTAAATTTGCTAAGATAGATTTTAGGTACTTTTGCTACAAAAAATATATATAACTGTGAGATGATGGATACGTTAATTTGCTTGGCTGTAGTAATGATTTCACCATGTGTATATGTACAAGTATACTCAAAAACTTCATGGAAAAATAGAACTGAAAGATAATACAAATCTTTCGATGGACTTTGTATATCAAAACATTATATTGTATACCTTAAATATATACAATTTTTTAAAACTGCTCACGTAAACTCTAGGACAGTTCACAAAGTGGGGCTTGAGGAAGAAGAAAAAAGCATTATTCTTTATGAGATTTTTGCAACATGGGAGGACACATGACATGAAAATCACATGTTGTTATTTCTGCAAAATCCGTAGAATTGTTTTATGCTTCTTTGTTTACTTTTATATCTATATCTTGCACCTGTATTTCATCCTTATCAGTTTGTTTTTTCTCCTCCTCAATCAGCATGACTTTGTTCGACGAGACCGGCCACTACGTGTCCTCATTGACCTCATACAAAGGACAAAAGATGCTGTTCGTGAGCTAGATAACCTACAGTACCGAAAAATGAAAAAAATACTTTTCCAAGAAACACGAAATGGACCCTTGAATGAGTCACAGGAGGATGAAGAAGTAGGTACAGTTTATTTCAGCAGGCACTTACGGAGTGCCTACTATGGGGAAAAAGTTCTGGATTGGGCACTACGAAAATAAAGACATAATTGACATCCTCTGCCTCAAGACATGCAGAGTCGCAGAAGAGACATTTGTAAAATAACTGATATAAAGCAAAATATGAAAAGTGCTGGAGAAGTATGTCACCATCGCGGGGGTCCACAGTGGGAGGAAAATAAGTTTGCTGGGTGGATTCATAAATCCATGGGAGACATGATGTTAGTGGTTTTTGACAAATGGGCATAGGGCATTTTAGACTCAGGAAAGTGTTGTGCTTTAGGAGGATTATCCTGGCAACGGAGTGTAAGATGGATTTGAATGGACAACATCCTGGACAGTAGTCCATGCAAGAAGTAATAAGGGCAGTATCAATGAAATGGGGAAAAAGGAACACTTTTCGAGAAGCATTGTAGAGGTAGATTTGATTATATTTGTACATAGCTTCTCACTGAAAGTGACAGATGAGGAAGGGTTTGAGGTGACCATAAGCATTTGAGCCTGAGAGGCTAGGAGTATGTTAATACCAAGAACAGAGAAAAAGAACCAGGAATAAAGAGCAGATTTAAGATGATTTCAGTTTTGTGGCTATTGAGTTTAAGGTCCTGGCATCATATTGTACTGGCATATTAAGATGGAAGTTTTCAAAGGAGAGATGACTTCCTGGTTTCTCATTCAAAGCACTTAAAAAGAACTGGTAGAAAATAAAGGCAATGTTTGGGACACCCGAATGGTGATGACTAGCAGTATGTTGGGATACACAAACCCAGAACACAGGAAGGAGGTATCAGCAAGGGTAGCTGGTTGCGGGGTCAAGAGCTTTAGAATGATAGCAAATCAAGGAGCTGGATGGAGAATGGGAAGAGGGCCCATGTCACATAAAAAAAGGGAGACCTAGGAGATAAAGTCATCACAGATGGTAAGAGAGTACACAGCTTCAAGGAGGGAAGCACAATAGTTAGACAATGACCAAAAAAAATGTTAATTGGGTTTTACAATTAGGACATCTTTGAAGACCTAAATAAAAGCAATTTCACAGGACTAGGTATATACTAGGAATAGTAGATAACCACGGGTTGTGGAATAAATGGGAGATGAGAAAGTGGAGACAGCAAAAGTTTATTTTAAGATTCAGAAATTTGGCCAAGAAGGAAAAGTGAGAGAGGTCAGCATATAGAGAGGTCCATAAATATGGAGCAGCCCTCTTCATATTTATATGCAGAGGAGGGGGAGCCAGGACAAAGGCATTGAAGAAAGAGGAAACAGATGTAGTTAAAGAAGAAGGATCTTAGGAAGCGGATAGGATAAGAACAAAAGTATTCAGGAATTAGTCTTGAACAAGACAAAGGAATCCTCTTCCTCTCAAACTGGATAAAAAAGAAGAAAGGGATAAAGAATGAATGTGTGTTAGCTTTTTGTTATAAAAGAAAATGAAACATAGCTATTTTATCAATAATTATAAAAGTGAAAAACTGAATTGAACCATAACATCTCTTGATTGCATGTAGAGAAATGCAATCATTGGGAAATAAATCTATTAAAAATATAATGTATTATCTATCATTTTTGCATTACCCAGTGATTCCTTATATTGCCATGGCTAAGTAACAGTTTATTAAAGTTGTATGTGTATAGTATGGTTCTTTGAAAACAGGGTTTATTTGTAGCTGAGTTGATTTAATTATATTATTTAATCTTATATCAAAAGATATCACACTGTGATGGATAAATTATATGTTCTGATTGTTTTACCACTTTTCAAATAGTAGTCTTTGGACCAGTGATAATGAATACCAGTATTATTTAACAGATATATTTAATAAGATTACAGAGGTAAGCATGATAGAATTGCTTGAGGGAGGCAGAATTTAATTACCTGTCCAGGACAGTAGAATTAATATCCCTGCTTAGATATAAAGTTACTCAGTAATGACTTGCAGAGGAGCATATTGCTTGTCAAATCTCTGAAAACTCTCTCCACTCTACTTTAGTTTCAAGTGACCACTGCTGGGTTTGCAGATATCCTAAAGGTCACCTTTTCAGTGGCCAGTAGTGTTTCTCTAGCACCTTGTTATTCTTGACGGTCTCTTACTAACCTGGCCTGAGTCTGCTTACTGAATAGCAATATGATAATATGATAGTTGTGTATGAAAGTCTTGGGATAGCAGTATGTGGAGCCTTATGACCCTTGGCCAGAATGGCACCTGGGGAAGGCATAGAAGGGAGTTTGAGACATCTGAAAATGGTGGGGGAATAGTGGAGCCACTACCTAAAAAGTTTATCTTTGCGGATTGGCAGAACTTGGCACTGCAAAATTGAGTATGCTTAATAGCTCAGTTAATGGATTGGCGCTTTATCTCCAGTCATTTTTTTAAATCCCAGTGCCCCTTTTTTATAGGACAGCGAACATGGAACCAGCCTGAGCAGGGAAATGGACAGCCTGGGCAGCAACCATTCCATCCCAAGCATGTCCGTGAGCACAGGCAGCCAGAGCAGCAGTGTGAACAGCATGCAGGAGGTCATGGACGAGAGCAGCTCTGAACTTGTCATGATGCACGATGATGAAAGCACAATAAATTCCAGCTCCTCTGTGGTGCACAAGAAGGTAGGTTTCATTGTACCCTTCACAGCGCTAGGCTTTGTCAATCATCACGAAGCCAGCTCGGGTCCCTGAGCTTCCAGACATTTAAGTTACCTTTTTGCAACTGAAATGTGGAACTAAACCTAGCACTTGACCATTTGCTTACAGTAGAAAAGAATGAAGAACTATGCAGGCTACGTCTGCACCTGTTTCTTCATCTTCCTCTCTCGTTTCTGTGATGTTCACCATCAATAAATAAAAGTAAATAAATCTATAAATCTTCAAGTCAAAGAATCCAGTAAGTCCTTCTCTAAACCAATAACCTTATTACTGCAGACCTTCAAAGCTTCCTGAGCATAAGCTGTTGATCATTCCTGCTTAGAAGTATGCTTTTTCAGAAGTATGTTTCTTTTTTTTTTTTTTTTTTTTTTTTTTTTTTTTTTTTTTGTCCTTTTTGAGACCGGCCACACCGCGCTCAACCAGTGAGCGCACGGGCTGCCATCCCTATATAGGATCTGAACCCGCGGCGGGAGCGCCACCGCGCTCCCAGCGCGCGCTCCCAGCGCCGCACTCTCCGGAGTGCGCCACGGGCTCGGCCCAGAAGTATGTTTCTTAATCTATATTCTCAGCATACTATTTGTTTTGAAACAGTTTCTACTCTTCTCTGCTTTTTCTTGGATTTATTGTTTACAATTCTTCTAAAGCTAGCTCTCTGCCAGCTTGAATATTCTGACTTTTGAATGAGTATGTCTGGTTTTTATTTTGGTTTACTTTTCCAGTTAAAGATTCTCATTTCATACAAGCCTATCATGATTCATAAGTTGAAATACTTTATGAAAAAAATTGCAAAGCTTCTTTCAAAGCAATTTCTATCAGATGAATATTTTATAGAATTATCAATATTTCCATTTAGGAATTCTCCACAAGTGTTTTGAGACACCTTAGGTAAACAATCCAGTTAGTACAGAATTATAGAAAAGGATCCCTTACAATTTTTTCCTTATTAGGTATATGTGAGGAATATATATACTTATTTTAATGAGTGGCAGTGATCACATTGTAATTCCAGTGAGAACGCATGTTTAAGAATTTTTTCACTTAGACTTCTATTGGTTGTGCTTTTTTCTTGGTAGGAAAAGAAATTGAACAGGAAAGAAGGAGGGCAGGAGAAAATATATTAGTGCCCAGTCATGAATAGAGTATGGATACACTTTTTTTTTTTTTCTGGAACTGATGAACTTATTCATTTATTCAAGCAAATATTTATTGGTCCCTCTGCTATGTGCCAGGAACTATGGTAGACCCTGTAGATGCAGAGGAAATAAAACAGACATGGTACCTTCACAGAGTTTGTTATCTGTGGGGGAGATTAAGCAAATAATCACACAAATAACTATGTAATTAATAATGAAACTTGTTCTGAGTAAAATAGGGACTTAATCTAGCAGGGAGTAATGGAAAGCCTACCTGATGAAGTGTTATTTAAGCTAAAACTTCAAAGACAAGTAGAAGCCAGCTAGCTTGGGGTGAGAGGTGGGGGTGAATCAGAAAGCAATAAGTACAAAGGCCCTGAGACAGCAACGAGCTTTGTATGTTCAAGGAAGAGGAAAAAGGCCAGAGAGGTTAGAGCTTGGTGAGCTATGTGAACAGTGAATTGGGACCAGAGAGGTAGTAACGACCCAGATTATCAGGAAGCCATGGAAGCAGTCTGAGGAAAGGAGGGATATCAGATGCAGGAATCTACAAAGAGTTCAGCATTGCTAGTCGTCTTCCTTTGGGACACAAGCAAGTGGTCATGTATTTGAAAAGTAGAAAAGAACGTTTTTCTGGGCTCTCTTTTTAGAGGGAACTATATCATCATGGTTGCTGACATGTCTGGCTCTTTCCTTTCTATTACCTCTGAGGCTCCGTGGGTATAGGGAACAAAAAAAGAGGAATTCAGCTGGATCTTTGTAATCCAGGCCTTCTCAGGTGAGCACTCAGAATTAGACGAAAGATACTATTTGCATAATCAGCAAGATACAAGACCCTGGTCTAGAACTCACTGGGGGTTTTAATTTTAATTTTGGTGTTCTGTTGTAGACCTATATTGTGATAATATGGGTCTTTTAATACTTTTCTCTCCCTGATGTAATCATTTAAGAAGAATAGATATAATTAACATTCTGAAATAGAAGGAAGTTGTGTGTGATCCACAAAAAAATACATGTCAGGAAGAATTTGTTATATGATGTATTTTTATTTTGTGATGAAATCTATAAAGAAAATGTAATGGAAGGGAATTGAAACACATTTGCAAGTAAAACTTTGAATGAGTTAACTTGAAAATATAAGCAGGCTATGAAAATAGAATATATATCAAAACTTAATGTTAAATATGGTAATTCTTCATGAAATCCATTTAGTCCCCATACCTGAGCTTTAGAATATGTGATCTTTAACCACAATAGAAATAAAAAGTTATTCAGAAACTTTATATTTATTGGTTTACTCAAGTTCCTAAAACTTTTTCAGTTGGGAATATAAATAAAATAGGATCTTAAACTCTCAACAGAAAATTTTATATACTGGACTGTAGGATGAGTAAACTAGCATATAGCTCTATCTGCCACTGTTCGTTTTATTTTACTTTGGATAAGTCACAAACCTCTCTGGGCCTCCGTTTCTCCATCTGTAAAATTAAAATTTTTTAAAAAGAAGTCTTAAAATTAAAACTTCTCAGGTCCCTTCCAGGTCTAAAATTCTGTGCTTCTATTCTTGTAATCTTTAAAGAAGTAGTTCTTACCCACAGTGTCACCCCGGCAAGGTCTACTTTTATCTTCTATGTGATATATTTGGATTCCACTTAAGATTTGCCTTGAAGAAGGGTTTTTTTCTGAAAGCCACTGCCCCAGTTAGTCCCTTCTCCATGCAGATGGGATGGCAACTACACTCTATTACGTGTAGGTATGGATAACATATGTGTCACAGGTTGGATTTTCCAGGATGCAGAGCTGGGACAGGGTAGCCCTGCAGGATTTTTTTTTTTTTTTCTTCATATTAGGAAGTTCACTTGTGGGAGGGAGGAGAAGGAAGCAGCACTGGGCAGAGGACAAAGCTGAGCAAAATTCAGGCCCAACAGCAGCCTCAACCAACCCCATAGGGAGCTCCGGAGCCAAAACGGCCCTTCAGAGTTGTCCAAGCTGGGCAGAAATATCTGGGCCGTGATACCCCCACCTAAATCAGTTGTTGAATATGGGCAACCTAGGAAGGGTATAAACTTGAATGAGGCTGCTCTGTGCAGCCGAGGCAATCCCTAAAGGAGCTGACAGCCAAAGACAACTGCCAACAGCACTCCCAAGCTGCTGGGGCAGCAAGTCCTTCCTTAAAGGGGGATCTGCAAGGTGCATTTCTGAATCTATCATCATTTGTGACCACAAAGATTTAGAAACAAGCAACCAATATTGTTTTATGAACATTTACCTGTGTTTCCTGGGTTCATGTCCAGAATCTTAGAAAAGCCTATATATCATTAAATTATCATATGATGAACAATAGTGTAACCATTATCTCATTATCCTACTTTATTTTCTTCTTAATACTTGCAATTATATAAATGATAGTAAGTATTAATTTATTATTTTGTGACTAGAATGTAGATTCCATTATGTCAGGACTATGCCTGCCTTGTTTGGCACCATATCCCCAATACCTAGAATAGTGCCTGGCACAGCAGGGACAAGTAATTTTTTGCTGCCTCTCGACATAGTGCCCAGTCTAATTATGGGATGACTCTCTATTTCCCTGGGATTACATTTTCATTCTCATTCACTTCCTTGTTCTGAAGGAACAGCAGTTTGCCACTGAATGGTTATTAGCCTTTTTCCCTTTAAGAAACTAAGAAGAAAAAAAAAAAAAAAAAGCCCACAGGAAATAAATTAATTCCCAAATATTAAACATCGTGCTATTCTGGTTCATTGAACATAATGCATTAAAAGGGTTAAATAATTTTAGATATTATCTTTATAGTTTGAAGGAGCTAAATGAATAGAGTTTGTCCAACAATAATATCCAAGACAATGAGAACATGCTTAATAAATGCCAAAATATAAGAATAAAGGTGAGGAAATTTTTTGTCCCCCTTGGTTGTTGTAATCAAGAAGACATGTCCTAAATTAGTTAAATCATACATCTGAAACAGATTACCATTTCATACAGGAAGTAAACTCACTTTGAAAAGCCAGGTGTAACTAGTGAGAGCTTGATTTGCAATTAACTGTCCTGTACCCCATAATGAAGATTCCCTGATTTTAGCAGGACAGTTCTATCACAGATCAAGCTCCTAAAGTGTAAAGTGGGATGCTGTAAATTTTTCTGACAGAATTTTAGGTTACTTCTTTCTCTCAGTCCTTGTCTCTACTCTGGTCTTTCCCAGGCCCTGAGGGTATCCTAATCTAAGCCTAAAAGCCAATATGGGGATCTGAACCCTTGACCTTGGTGTCACCAGCACCATGCTCCCCCAAGTGAGCTAACCAGCCAGCCTCAAAATAAACTTTAAGTACTTATTTCCTTTCCCCTTGTTAGTGCTGCCACGCTGCTTTTTCCAGTAACAAGAGTATTGCCATATCTCTAGATTGGTAGCTCCTCAGGACCTCTCTCTTCACCTACCACCTAGCAGAGTGTCTGTTACAGAGTAAGCACTCAATAAATGTTTTGTTGATTAAATTGAAGGTGGATCTTTACAGGACACGACTCTATACCTCTATTCTTGATTATTCACAAGTGACTACAGGGCAAATTTTTAATTCAGATTAGTTTCTTTGTTGTCACCCATCCTACTCCTTAAAATCATTGTGTATACTGCATTAGAAAACAGATTTTCATACTGTCCTAAGCAACAAAGTCTATTTTTAAAATTTGTCAGTTAAAAGATATACTTTTATTTGTTAAAGTGTAAAATCAATTACCTTTGCCTGTTGCTGCCTTTGATTAGTATAGACCATAAGGCTTTAATATATTAAAAGCATTGTTCTTTAATCAATGTTATTTTAGGTATGCCTAATGAACTCCAGTCATAATGGCCACTTTTTAGGGATTATTTACAGAAAATATTTCTTAAAAATCATTCTACCCTAACTCATAAAAGTTTACTTGGCCCTTCCTATTAGTCAATGTTAGTTCTTTTCTCCTGCCCACCTCCCCTCCCCGCCCTTTTCTTTAAAGAAAAAAAAAGAAGAAAACAGCTTTCACCATTTTCATGGAAGTAAAAAAATGTCCTTGAGGGGATAGGATGTTCTAGTTTAATTTTCACTTGCTTCAGTGGCCTTTCTATTTTCCTATAGCACAGGGGTAGGTTCTTTGACTCTTCAACTCACATTTGGCAAAGTTAAAGTAAATTAATATATGAAGGTAATGTTTCTTCAACAGAGCAGTCATACAACACCTCCCTGCAGTAGTGTTTTTATCTGCAGGCTTCTGCTAGTCATCTTTTCTCCCTAACTGTCCTTCCAGGTTAAGAGATCCTTTTCCGTCTTCTCCTCCCTTTCTTCTACCCCAGCTTTTGATAGTTACACCAGCTTCAACAGTGATTTAATAATTTTGAAATGAACCAAACAGAAGAGGTGGTGGGTTTGCTGATCCCTTCTCTACAGCGTGAAAAGTGTGGGAGTCTGTAAAAAGCCTTCTCATCACCAGATAAAAGCCATTTTTAGATACACTGCCCCCCACCACCAGCTGCGTAAAGGTGTACTTGTGTGTGTCACTATTTCATCACTTTCTTAGAGTACAGAGTGGCAGGTTTTTATGAAATACAAATTTGAATTCTGTTAAATAATCCAAGAGAAAATGTCATTTTCTCAAAATCTCCTCAGGCCTATATTCTTGAGCTTGTTTATTCAGCAAACATTTACTGAATGCCTACTAAGTATCAAGCACTATGCCAGGTGCTGGGAAGATTGAGATTTTTCAAACCACATTTAGTTTGCCTTCAAAAAGCCCACAGTCTCATGCAGAGACAGACAAGTAAGTGTGATGAGTTCTGTGATAAAGGTAAACCCAAACACAGCAGAGTCCAGAGGAGTGGCTTCCAGGAGCAAACTTGAGTTAATTTAGAAACTCTAGACAAGTGACTGCACCATGAATCTTCATTTCAGAAGTGTAACAGTCAGACACTTAGGGAAAAAACTTCTAAATAAAAGTAAAACCCCTTGTCCAGGGTAGAATTGTAAAATTTGTGCCTCATATTTCACATACTTCGGTACATTGTACAAAAGTTAAATTCTTTTTACTAAAGATTTTGAACAAACATTATGACAGCTTCTTTTTTAATCTGAAGAAGTTTATTTTTTACAATGAAAGAATATTGCAAATTTACCAGGTTAACATAGGTTTACTTAAAACTGGTCCCAATCATACTGATATTTCAAGGAGTTTTTTTTTTTTTTTTTTTTTTTTGGTTCCTGGATGATTTTTTAAAGATAAATTGTAACCAAGCCATGTATTTTGTCTTAGTAAAGTAGAATGTGGTATTTGTTCTTAATCTCCTAAAATCATTTTTCAAAGATGTTGGCCCTCTCATCATTTGGAAATAATCTGCATCCAGTGCCTAACTGCATAAAATAGCAAATTGACACTTTCCATTATTATTTTTAAGATGTATGCAGTTCACAAAGTCTGGGAGCCAGGTATAGTGGTCATTTTCAAAGGGACTGGTACTTGAAGGGGCAATATAATCAACAAATACGTCCAATGAAGCTGATACTTGAATTTGTTCAGGCTTACTTCTCTCTCAAGTCACATTCCCCCCATTTTGAGGTTTTTTTAAATTGCTTCATTAAAGCTGTCTGTGGAGTTTTGAACCTGTTTTATGTAATGAAACTGAATATTTAAAAATTAATTTCCTAATACATTTGAAATGGATATCCACTATTAGACTAAAATTTTGTCCCATTTTGTGGTCTCTTGCATAATATTTAAAGACTTTTAGTGATAGTAATCTCTGTTATGAAGCTGTTCTGGAAAACTAAGAATTCTTTTATAAAAGAAAAAACTTCTAGGGGAAAACAAAGAATTATATACATTAAAATTTTGAGTCTATTCTTCACACTAACTTCTAAAATAGCATTATTTTTAAAATATGCCTTAGTGGGTTATTTAACTACTTATGTATCAACTAAAGTCAATGTGATTTTGAGATTTAACTTTTCCATTGTATTCCAATTTCTTTAAGTTTAATATACTTAGAAAATATAATGTGACTTTTAATTTGATATGCAGGGTCTTAAACCCAAAGTGTTAATTTTTATCAGAGATTAAAAAAATGAAAAGTTATACATATTTGTATATGAATATATTTTGTTCTGATCTGTTATGAGGACAACATGGATTCTAGTATCACTTTTTGTCTTTGTATATCAGTTATTACAATTTGAAATTTAGTCACTGCCGCATATTTGAGGTCTCCCTCTCAATCAAGGTACTTAATACGTCAGCCCACTAATACTCACTAAAACTGTGACTTAAGACCTACTATAAAACCGCAGACCTATACTTAGTGTATCTCTTCTTATTTGCTAGCATTTAAAAGCTTCTTACTTTTCTGGGACTGTGGTATTAAGTTCAGTTTCAGACATAAATATAATTCATTAATAAATATATAGTAATGTAAATGATAGCAGATCCCAGTGCCTTCCTCTTTAGAGCCTAAAACCTAGTATATGAATCCCAATCACACACCTAATCTCTCTTTTCCCTGTGAAATAAAAGCTCAGATTTCCCAGGAAATAATGTAGAATAATTTTCACTGACCCTTCAAGCATTTTCTTATAAGTTTCAAAAGCATGGGTTAAGAGATGCATTTTTTACCTATAGCATGGCCTAATAGAACTTTCTGCAATGATGAAAACGTTCTATGTCTGCACTGTCCAATGTCGTAGCCACTTACTGTAGCTTTGAGCACTTGAAATATAGCTGGTGTGACTTAGGAACTGAATTTTATGTTTTATTTCATTTTAATTAGTTTTAATTAAAATAGCCACACATGGCTAGTGGCTATTGTACTGGACAATACAGATGCAGAACATCCCTTGAATTTGGTGTATATGCCCTCAGTGGCGAGTTCATTAGAGACTACAATACATAAATTTTTTAAAAATTTCTAAACATAAATGTAATAATGGTAGATACCTTACCAACACATTGAAACATTTTAAATTTATGAAACAAAAAAGTAAATCAGTCTAATGATAAATTTAATTTTGGATCTTGGCTTTTCCGTAAAAATCTGGATGTAAATTTTAATTTCCCTCAAGGAATATATATGTTTTGACTTATCAAAATTTTAGACTATAATAAAATTTTGTATTTTCTAAACCTCCTTAATTCTTATTTTCTGATGAAGGAAAAAGCAATTTAAAAAATTTCAAGTAGTCATGAACAAAATGCAAAACTGACTTCTGAACAAATGGATTCTCCTAAAACCCTAGGGAAATAAGGAATTAATTTCTCCTTCCCCATCCTGAGCATGTACTATTTAAAAATCCCCCATAGTTGTATATGTTTTTGAGCCACTAATTACTATAGTCTCTTTTTTGTTTTCTGAAGGGTTAGACCTACTTGCTGACTGACCACTTCATCTTTTACAGAGGGGAGCATCGTCCTTTGAAAGCATTTTCCCCTTTAAAAGTCATTTCAGTTGCATTTAGGAAACAACCATTATGATCCTTCCAGGGAATGTTATTTTTTCACCGGGCGTTAGAATAAGATTAATCATCTTTGCCTATCAAGAAGCATAGGTTTGATTAAATCAGTCAAGGACATTAAATTCCAGCTTTACTCACTCTCATGACCATACTGATGCTGAGTTGAGGAAGAATTTGTGAACGTATCATTTGGTTAAAATTGTATGCCTGTCTCTTTAAATCTAAAAAAAAAATCCTTTCAGAAGCTGTAGAGAGAAGGTGCTAGAACTGTGTACGATCATGACTGGAAAGCAGGATCCCTCAGTGACTGCTGAATCTTTCCAGCACAAGATAGAGAGGCAGTCCAGCACAAGCCTACACTGATTCTAGGCAGAACGATGATCCTACCGAACAGATCTCAAATAAAATTCAATTGAGAAAGCAGATCTTTCAAGGGAATGAGGCGGAGGCTCGCTTTTATGTTAAAAGCCACCAGCATCCTCCCTGCTAGACATGGACATGACATTTTTAAAGGAATTATTTGGTTACAGCGTTTTAAGCAAACTGTTCTAAGGAGTCTGTACATTGCATTGTTTTTTCTATTCTTTTTTTCTTTTGCATATATGTAATTCTGGAGGTAAAGAAAAAGCCTGCCAGGGATTCAGAAGGCATCCCACTAGCGATCAGCTGACATTCCTAACTGAAGGCTGCAATGTGTTGCTTATTCATTTTGTACCGTGGGAGCTGCGGGGACTAGCAGAGAGCTAAACTATGCATTTCAAACAGCAGTGCTTGTGCAGAAAGAGGGGTGAGAGAGAGGCAGCCGGCGAGGAAAGAGCACAGCTGGACTTTCTCCTTGTTTTTATCCATTTCTGCAGGATCATGTATTCATAAGGGATGAGGCGGGCCACGGCGATCCCAGGCCTGAGCCGCGGCCTACCCCGTCAGTTCAGAGCCAGGCCCTCCACTACCGGAACAGAGAGCGCTTTGCCACGATCAAATCAGCATCTTTGGTAAGCAAACACCCCTCTACCCACCTTCCCTTCCTTCCCCTCCTCCCCATCTGGCAGCCTCTCGCCCTCCCTGAGCCTCTCTCGGCTTCATGGATGGGAGGAAAGGAGTCAAGAGTATTTTCTCCCTCCTAATAATTTTATTCATTTTAGAAAAAATCTTGTTGGCATAGCAACCTGATCTCAGATATTTTAGCATTGTCTATGGCATGGGGGGAAAAAAAACCTTTGTGTGTGTGTGTGTATGTGTGTGTGTATTTATTTGTATATGCTGTATGTGCAAAATATAAGGCCTTTGAGATGAAGTTGCTAGCATATCCAATTTTTTAAAAGATACTTGTCTTTTCATTGAAATAAATAATGCTAAAAAAATTTTTAAGGTATGGATATATGTGTATGCAGGGCACTGTGCTCCTTTTTTGTATAGATGCATGTGTGTCTGTAATGTATACATACACATCAAAAGATAAAACACAATTTTAAAAAAAATACATGGTTGCTGGCTAGTGTATATAATTGTAGAAAATAAGGTACTTGCTTCTCAGGGATGGATTGCTGGTTCGTTCTGGTTCATTCATTTATTTATTGCAACAATGGTAGTGGCTGCACTTCCCCATTTTAACCCCTGAAGAATTTCCTGGCACCAATAAAGGAGAAAAGGCTTTGTAGGAGAGGATAGGGATGATTGTGGAAGAAAAGAGACTGTGGGATTCTTCAGCATTTTTACTATTGCAAATGTGATTGCTGGATGCCCTTGTAGTAGCAAAAGGGGTGTGTGCTGGAAGAGTTAGTTTTCATGCCTCCTCCCCTCGGCCCCCCACGCGTGCGCGTGCGCGCTCACACACTCACATACACACTCACACACGCGCACACACACGCTGTCACGTCGTTTCATCATTGGCACTCTAAACTCTCTTTAATCTTTTGCTGCTGAATCTCATTGCTCAACCAAAAAATTATTGAAATGTTACTTGTTTTGCCCAAATTGATGTTAGAGGTCACATGGGCAGGAAGAGTAAGTATACACTGCTTAGCTATTACATTTAGAACCTATGATGACATCATCCAAAGCCGACCCAGAAATGATCATTTTTTCTTGTTCTATTTTTTAAACCTGATTTCTACTTTTATTTCTCAGATCTTTTAAAGGCTTCGATTATCTTTGAAATTTGTAATGGATTATAATCTTTAAAAACCCAAGTATAAGGAAAATGGAAGTTAAAGCACCTACCTATTGCTATGCCTGCTGTTGTCTAAAAGCAAGCAATTTAATTTAGCCCACTTTTTAGTTCCTTTATACAGAAGTTTCTTGTAATCTCTTTGATGGGCAATTTTTCATTTTAAAGGAATGCTATGTAATGGAAATCTTAAAATGTCCACTATGTATTTGCTAATGATTGTTAAGCACCTAAAAATATGCTTCTGAGTCTAAATAAAGCATTGTGACATTATTAAATAATAATAATCTTTATGCCATGATATCTGACAAAAGAAGAAATATGGTATTTTAGAGAACTATTGCTACTTACCACAGAGTCTTGTAAGACTTATACCTTTATCCAGACCTGTTCATGTTGAAATGAGAGAGAAATGATGAACAACCACTGAGCATCTGAGCACCATAAGCAGGTTTTACATGTGAAGCAGACATTATACCAAGTGGATTGTCCCCCTCTGGGACAGGTTCTCTTCTTTTCTCACTTGCCACACCCTCATTCCCACATCATACATTCATGACCTCTCCTACCTCCCAATAGATATTACTACAGCCACGCCAGAATAATGTCACGCTCATATCTGTGAACTCACCCAGGGCTACTCTGTGTGTATCAGCCATCACAGTCTTTCTCTCTGTGGATGATAAAAGCTGCTTCCCTACTAGGTCCCCTCAGGGCTCTGGGAAGAGTCCTCAGGAACCCTTTTGAATTCTACTGGCTTTATAATGCCCATCCAGAGAAGAGCTGGGATCTGTCTCCCTGATGGAGTTTTCATTTGCTGAAAGGCCCCAGGCCTTATAACTAGTTAAAAACAGAGTAGCTGATAAGCTATTACTTTAGCCAAAAAATAACTTGTTTTTGTGGAGCACCCTCTCCAGTGTAATGCTTTGGGAGTCATGTTGGGATTGATGGGAGTTTATCAGAGTTTGGTGATATTTGTGTCTAGTGGTTTTTAGGGAGAAAAAAATTAATGCAAGGGAAAAGCCATATCCTTTGGTACAGATCCATGTCCCATTTTGGACAGACAAACTATTGATGTGGATATTTTAATGTATGTTATCAAGTACTACAATTCTACTACCCATTATTTTAAAGGCTAGCTCCAATGGGAGTTTATAAATCAGGACACTGGAATATCATAAAGTAGTATTTAATTTTTAAAAATATATCATGAATCCTATTGCTTTTTCATCGATCCCAGCTCAAATGAAAAGGACGAAAATGATGTAAATAACATAAAAGTAACAGCAAGTTCATGGGAAAGTGAAGTCCAGTATAATAAATAATCAAGTCACTGTTAAAATGTGGCCTCACTGGGCCGGCCCGGTGGCGCACTGCTACAGTGTGCCGCTTGGGAGCGCGGCGGCGCTCCCGCCAAGGGTTCGGATCCCACATACAGACCGGTTCCTGCTCACTGGCTGAGCGAGGTGCGGGCGCAGCAACGAGGTTTGCGATCGCGTTGCCGGTCCCGGTCCGGTACAGGCGCGACACTGAGGGTTGCGATCTGTTGCCGGACACAAAAAAAGAGACAAAAAGGAAAAAAAAAAATGTGGCCTCACTTATCATACATAGTCAGTAGCAATACCATATTGATTTATTTTGGTTTTACTCTTTCTTTACAATCTTCTACTAGAGGTGCTAACAAGCTATAGGGAGGTCCAAAAGTGAACAGCAAAAAGAGGAGGAATTTACAAACTAGTTTTTCAATTGCTAGATAAGTAAGTGATGAGTATATATTTTAAATTGACTTACAAACTGACAAAATGCATTACTGTTCCTAAAATTTATTTTCTGAGCCCACCTCTTCAATATAAACCTAAAAGAGGCCTAACTTTGTGGTTTTTTTCCTTAGTATTACTTTATACATTGTGCTTTTGAATGAAGTTATTGACAAGTGTATGAAGTCCCTGAGCTACAGGCTTTCACTGCTAGATGTTTTCATAATTTTGAGACTTTTGTGTTGTTATGCACTGCTGCACAATCGCATTTGTAGCAAAGGAAAGGGAAGGACTGCAAACCTTTATATTAGAGGAAACCCTGAGGAAACTTTAGAATTGTCATTTTTTATTGTAATTTTCTAAGGTCAGATATTATTGACCTTATTTTGAAAAATTAGGAAAAGGAAGGGCATTTTGTGACATCTTTTTTATTTTATTCTTTCTTTTTCTTCTGTTAGAAAGTTCACATTGGAGTGATTTGTTACCTGGAAAAAGGAGTTACTAGTTCTTCACAATTATTAATCTGATTTCTTGGGCCTTTGTGATGTTCCTTCCTTCAGTTCTTACTGTTGGTGAATGGAGATTTTAACATTTTAACTAGTGGACTTATGAGAGTGTTTTCAGCTGTTGCTACATCTGGTGTCATTTCTTTCTTAAAATTTTATAATGTCCTGGGTCCCTGGAAGTTTCCATAGTAGATGTTAATATAAAGAGCACCAAGGCCATGTCCATCAGACAATTCAGCTTTTGGCCTTATGAATGAATTCTCACTGAAATGCAGTGGTCTCATCACACAGGTGAATTTATGATGGAACACACATTAAGGAGAAGGGGCATAAGAGGGAAACTCAGTTTGGAGTACCCAGGAAAGCATGTAGGAGAAAATAATTATTGTTCTTTTCATGTTTTATCAATTTTTGTTATATCCAAGAACATAGACTTTTATACTTGGCTTTACCAGATTCAGTAGAAAAACTCATAAAAAGGGAGTCTTCATTTGGAGTTTTAAAAACGCAACCTAATTATTCAGCAAATTGTGAAACTGGATACCTGAATGAGTTTGCTATATAAGAATAAAAAAATTAGAGCCTCAATAGTAAATGCCACCGTTTCACCTCTCCTGAGACCCGTTGTTCTGTTTCTAAATGCCTGAAAATGTTTTCTCTTTCTGGATAGTGTACCAGAGGTGCTTATCAAAATATCGTATATCTCTTTCCTTATTCTTGGCTTCTTAAACTCACTAAGGTCATTGCTCATACCATTTTTCACTTGTGCTGTCCAATCTACATGCCCAATCCACATGACCAAAATCTCCCAATGAGCATGCGCCAGATGAATAAATGAGGTCTCTCTCAGCCCTGCTGTCACACACACACACACACATGAGAATTTGGGCTTATAAGTGTGCATTTCAGAGTTCTTCATGTAACATTTTCTGTTATAAGACAAAATTGCCTGTTATCAGTCATTACTTGTAGTAAAAATTTAAAACATGTTTTCCTTAGGTGTTCTAAAGAGTGGAAAGTCAAATTTCTGATGCCAAAATGTGACTTGTATTCTTTTTAAGAACTTGCTATAAATTTCATTTGTTCTAAGTGCTGAGGTGACCACTTTTATGCATTATTTTGATTCTCACAAATAATTAATCTTATAAATTGGCTTTGATTTCTTAAGAGGGTGACATTATCAGCTACCATCCTTCTGTTTTATGTTCAGTCAAGTTGCTTATTTAAGCCTTCTAGTACAGTGTTTTGTACATGGTAGGCACACTCTACACTTTATAAAGTGGTTTGTTTTAGGGCCAAATATTGCTAGAATTAACTAGGGTAGCATTGAGCCATAGAAACTTTCGGGAAAAAGTTTGTCCTCCTTTTGATGGTTCATTATTATTTATTTATTTATTATTTCCACATATTCCAGGTATACGAGCTGAGTAATAGTTCAGATTCAGAAATTATACATTCTTAGTCTTATAATCCACAATCTGGATACAGGTATAGGTATAGTTTGTTAAACATGCCCTTTCTCTTGGATACACTTATTCTGATCTATGTCCGCATCACCAGAAATGTTAAGCAGAAGAAAAAGAGACATGTTTCTCAGAGCCTGGCTGGAGAAGGAAGGAAACCAGCATATATTGAACATTTCCTACACATCAAACACCTTGCCAGGCAATTTCATATATGCGATCTTGTCCACCGACCTTGAGGAAAATAGTAGTAGTTTCTCTTTACATATGAAGAAACTGAGAGACTTGAAGAGGATAAGTAATTTGCTCAAGGTCAGTTATATAGTAAGGGTTAAAAGGGGGTTTTTCTCCAAGCAACCTACTGGGTATGACAAGATGGTACTGCCCACTTTTAGCTGATCACATTTTTGAAGCTCCCATTGTAAAAACTGTAGCCACTACATCTCTATAATTCTCTCCCATTTTCAGACTTACTCAATTTGTAATTTAGACTTCCACTCTCTCCAGCATTGACTTTTTTGGGTGTTGATTCCCTCTCTTATTTCAGAACAAATAATAATCCCTCTTTCTGTCTTTTCTGTGATATAAATTTCCTCAAATAATTCAAGAAACATAAGACCTTGGTTCAAATCCCAGGCCTTATAAAAATTAAAGAGGTAAATTATACATGAAAGCACTTTGTAAACCATAAGGCATGATAAAATTATGGGCTATTTTTTTTAATTCTTTTGGTCAAGTAGTATATTCTTAAAACATACAGTATAAACTTAAAACACATAGGCATACACAACTGTAAGTAACATATTTTTATATATTTCACCTTAGATTTCACAAATGAAACATCTGGTTATACTTTTATTTAAATTCATCTATCTAGCTTGAGCATGGAATTATAAAACTCACTATTTCTGTATGTACCCAAAAAAACAATTTGAAACTTAGAAGGTTTGGTTGTGACAAATGGAAGGTGCTATTAGGAGTTTAAGAAGGTGATAATTCCAATTATGGAAAGCTTTCAAAAGCTAAGTGTCTCTCCTGGAATTCAGTGATGTACAATGATAGCATGTTGAGCTTTGTAATTAATCTTTGCCACATACTTATGCCAGGTATGATCTGGTAGGCAGTAGGACCACCCTCTTTACAGGGACCACCCACCAGTTAAGATAGAAAGTGTTCTTGACACAACTCATTTTCATTTTATCTTTAGGCCTCCTGGTTTAGAGAAATGGCCATCCTGAGAATATTTCATTGGCCATAAGCCAGTGCTTGTGGCAAGTTTTAAATGTGCCATGATAATTTTAGAGTGTACAGTGCCTCAGCTTTGGGAATCTGATTAAAGTACTAAAATAAGTAAAAATAAGTATCTGAATACAACATGTCTAAAACCCATTACCCTAAAACAGACACTTTACTGCCATATTCATCTGAAAAACAAGTGAATCCAGAAAGGACTAAATGCTATCCTTTCTGTTGATTGGAATTGTTTCTCCCTGAAGTTGAACCTCAGGACGGCATAAGCAAGAGGAAGTAAAATTTACACGTACATTTCAACCTACTTCTTCTTTTTATCAAGTAATAAGTCCATTAAAAAAATAACACAGTATTGTAACAAAAATAGATCATTTATTTTCTTTAGAGTGTTAGGTGCCTTTTCGGTGTTGCTATTCTTTTTTGGTCTTTAAGTATCTTCTGCTCTTATTCCTCGTACTTTAAAGAGGATTGTCCTTCAGAAATGAGAAATGAATATGAAATCTAGTGTTAGTTTCAGCTGGAAAGGTTTCAAAGTTTGGCTACTGTTTAATGGTGTACTTTGATAATACTATGTATCCAGTTACAGAACAGCACTCTCTTGATAGTAAGGACTCAGTCTAGTATGTAGTGACACCTTCTAAAAAAGAGCAGAGAAACAAACTGTTCTTTGTATAAAATACACTTTGACCCATAAACTGAAAATAGTACAGAGAATTAATAGCAGCATGAAAATTTCCAGTAAAACTTGTTTGGGGGTTAGGATGGGGAGAAGTGGCTTGCTTAGATAGGAATGATTAAATTACTTAGCAAAGAACAAAACGAAAGTTATAACCCTGTAATTACATTTTTTTCTAAAATACATAGGAAAAATCAGAAGAAAGTGATCAGAGAATCTAACAGGAAAATTAAAAGGTATGATAAATTGAAGGAAGGACTGGAAAATCATGAAAAGTTTAATAGAAACATGAGGTACCAGAAGTTATGTTTGCACTCTTCGATTTGTTGGATATTTACTTGAGAATGAGTTAAGGAAAAGTTACTAAGAAAAGTAGCCATCCAAAATTCATAGAAATTCTTTCTCCTCTTTAGGAGAGCAAGTAAATACATTATAATTTGTTAACATCTCTTTTGTGGAGAAGGGGAGGAGGGAGACAGATGATTTAAAAGGTGATCTCTCTGTTTCTGTCTCTCAACTCATATTAAGAATAAGAAATAATCCCTGCACCTGCCAGCAAAAAAAAAAAAAAAAGGAAATAAAGAATAGGAAATAAATTATGCGATATTCAGGGTTCCTGTGACTATTAGAGACATGAACCTTAAAAAAAAAATAGTGCTCAGCTAGAGGGACTTTGTCCCCCAGGGGACATTTGGCAATGTCTGGAGACACTTTTGATTGCATGACTTGGGAAGTGCTACTAGCTTCTAGTGGCTAGAGGCCAGGGATGCTGCAAAAAATCCTACAATGCACAAAACAGCCCCCCTAGCAAAGAATTATCCAGTCCATTATTAACAGTGTCCAGGTTGAGAACTTTTGATGTAGTGGAAATAGCATGACACGAATCAGACAGAAATGGGTCTGGATCCCAACTCCTCTCCTCATTAGCTATGTGACCTTGAGCCATATATATGATGGTATCTCAAAAATATGTAAACATGTTTTGGCTGAATGAATAAATTATTTCCTTCAAATCTCAATTTCTTCCTCTATAAAAATGGGTCAGTAACACCTGCCTCATGAATGAATAAAATGAATGAGTGAATGAGATGATTTTGAGGATTAGAGAGAAAGTATATAAAGAGCACCCGGCACAGTGCCCACTACAGGTGAGGATTCAGTAAATAGGAGGTAAATTGATGTTGATGATGATAAATAAAATTATGCCAGAGAGTTCTTCTACTTTGCCTGAAAGTTTGTCTCCCATGAATCTGGTTATCCGAGTTCTGTTCCCCAACCCAATTCAGGTTACACGACAGATCCATGAGCATGAGCAGGAGAACGAGTTGCGGGAACAGATGTCAGGTTATAAGCGGATGCGGCGCCAGCACCAGAAGCAGCTGATCGCCCTGGAGAACAAACTGAAGGCTGAGATGGACGAGCACCGCCTCAAGCTACAGAAGGAGGTGGAGACTCATGCCAACAACTCGTCCATCGAGCTGGAGAAGCTGGCCAAGAAGCAAGTGGCTATCATAGAAAAGGAGGTCAGTATGTCCACACATGCCTTCATGCCGCAACCAGCCTGAGCCAGTCAATGGCAGAATGTTAGCAAGAGGGGGAGGGGGCCTAGTTAAAATTGTCATTCAGAGCTAAAATAGTAACTAAAGATGTATATTACATTCTTGTCCGTTTGTATATATTGTGAACATCATTCCCTCAGTGGTGGTCTGGGTAGGAGTAAAGGGAAACAAGATGCTGCTATCTTCTGAGAACTTGCACAGCACAGGTCTGTTAATGTGCCTACCATACCCCCAGTCCTCTTCAGAAGTAAACCACTCTACAAATACAGTCATCCCTTGGTGTCCACGGGGGATTGGTTCCAGGATCCCCACAGAAACCAAAATCCAAGGATACCAAAATCTGCAGATGCTTAAGTCCCTTATATAAAATGGCAAAGTATTTGCATCTAACCTCTAGATTACTGTAATATCTAATACAATGGAAATAGTTGTTATACTGTACTGCTTTTTTATTTGTATTACTTTTCGTTGTTATATCATTATTTTTGTTTTGGGGGGGGTTTTTTAAGAATATTTGGTTGTGGGCCGGCCTGTGGCTCACTCAGGAGAGTGTGGTGCTGATAACACCAAAGCCACGGGTTCGGATCCCATATAGGGATGGCCAGTTGCTCACTGGGTGAGCGTGGTGCTGACAACACCAAATCAAGGGTTAAAATCCCCTTACCGGTCATATTTTTTTTTTAAAAAAAAAAAAAAAAAGAATATTTGGTTGAATCCATGAATCCGAGAGTGGGGAGGACTGACTTTAGTCTTCTTTAGTGGTGATAGTCCCTGCCTACAGCTGATTGGACTAAAGTTGGACACCTGACCAATGGCAGCAGGGAATTAATCAGGCCAGTTTTGGGTTTTTCTGGGGAACATCTCTTTCCCCATCCAGGCTCTAAACTAATTTTAAAAATTGATGGAAGGATAAGGCAGATAGTCAAAATATCACCTTTATTACTGATGAATGTTAGATAGGAGAAGAAACCAAGTCACCTTCCCTGTGACCCCACCCCCCCCCATAAGACTTACATAATCTAGAGGAGTAGGTGAATTTGTGAATTCTGTGTTTTCTCGGGATGGAGTGACTGGGGACAGGGTTCCAGGGGCGTTTCAGTAATTGCACTCACTTTCTGCACATGGAAGGAAACATCAGATTGTGGAAGAAGGCATTCCTTAACAGCCATCAATCTATGAGGCAGTCTGGCGTGAAAACCTCTGCCCAAACATTGATGTTGTTGGTTAAATAAACCAGATTCCTTCTTGGGAATTTGACTTGGTAAATATGTGGAGAGAATTGTTCATAATGGAAGAATTGTTGATAATGGAAGCTAAAGGTGAAAAGATACATAAAAAGAACAAAGAAGCATACTTCCCTATCTCTAAATCCCTCATCTCGCCTACGTGCTTCATCTGATGGTTACCTGGAACTTAGATTTGGGCACTTTCAGAAGCCAGTATTTATTGGATTGCCTTTTATTTGGCCTGTGTTTTACCCATTTAGGACCCCCAAAAATGTCATAGTGTGTCTGACTGTTGTGGATTGTATTAAGTGCCCGAGAGAACAAAATGTCATTAGCTTTCCTAATATACCTGGGATAATCCCACTAGGAAATCTGATAGTTGGAATAATTAATTGTTTAGAGTTTGATTCTTTGAATAAAACTGGCCAGTCATGGTTATTTACCCCTTTTTATAATTTAACCCTTCGACTACCATGGTAAAAATTCTTTACTATAATCCTTAGTTCTCCTTTCACTCCATGAATATTTTTGTGTTCAATAAAACATGCTTATGGTTCACCTTCATATTTTTCCCATAATTGGGAATGTATTTTTCAATGGTAAAAATTTCTTTTTTTTTTAATTTAAGATATAAGAGAATCAGAGAAAACATTTCTTTATTTTTTTATTATTTGTTCAAAAAATATTACATTATTCAGCACTTACAGATTCTTTCAATGCATTGGAGAATATAAACAGCTGAATTCTGTGTGGAAAACAGCATAGATTCATCCTAGATCATATTTGTTATTTTATCAGGCAAAGGTAGCTGCAGCAGATGAGAAGAAGTTCCAGCAACAGATCTTGGCCCAGCAGAAGAAAGATTTGACAACTTTCTTAGAAAGTCAGAAGAAGCAGTATAAGATTTGTAAGGAAAAAATAAAAGAGGTAAGGGTACCCATATTTATAGTTGCCACATTGCCATTAGAATGGTTGGAACTTAAAATTGACTCATCTTGCATTGTGATCAATATTCTAATCCAGCAATTCTCAAACTTTACATTAGAATCACCTGAAATACTTATTAAAATTAAAGATGGCTCACTCAGGAGAGTGTGATGCTGATAACACCAAGGCCACAGGTTTGGATCCCATATAGGGATGGCCAGTTAGCTCACTGAGTGAGTGTGCTGCTGACAACACAAAGTCAAGGGTTAAGATCCCCTTACTGGTCATCTTTTTAAAAAAATAAAATTGCTAACCCACTCCTAGATTTTCCGAATCAGCGGGTATGGGGTAGAGTTTGAAAATGTGTATTTCTAACAAGTTCCCAGGTGGTTCTGATGCTGCTTGTTCAGGGACCACATTTCCAGAACTATTGATCTAACTCTAAACCATTCTTGCCTACTTCCAGTTAATTTTCCACACTTCAGCCAGAGTGATCTTTTCAAACCATAAATCTGGTCATATCATCCCATAGGTTTAAAATCTATTGACTTTCTATTGCTGTTAGGACGGATCAAAGTCCTGGAAGTCCGTACATGGTCTGCTACTAGTCTACCCCTCAAGTGTCATCTCACTCCAATGCTTCCCCCATCCCCCACCCAACTCTTTGTTGCTGGAGCCATGATGGTCACCTTTCAGTTCCTCAAATGTATCAAGCTCCACCCTTCCCCAAGGCCTTTGCACATACTGTTTCTTCTGCCAAGACGCTCTCCCCACCCCAAGACCTTCCTGACCACAATTCTGCTCAGTTAATTCCTCCTCCTACCCCATTCCCCCCCAACACACTTCTTGTAAGACTTAGGATTGATTACTAGGACCTTAACTCAAATATTACTTCCCCAGAGAAGCCTTTCCTAACTGCCGCGACCAAGACAGAGGTCTCTGGTTTCATAACACTAGAGCTTTTAATTATACCGTTTTTTAGTGATTATTTGAGCTACTTACCCTACTAGCTTGTAAGTGTCATAAGAGCAGAGACCATGTCTTTCTTTTTGCTAACTGTATCCCTGTGTTTGGTACATGTGAATATTTGATAGATGAATGGTTGACTCTGGAATGTTTGATTGAAAACCACTTGTCTTCATATGAGTGTCCTGAGGAACTGCAATTTGATCTGAAAGCTCACATTCTTCATTTCTCATTTTTCCAGTACTTACAATAAATGGTCTGTAGTTCCATAGACTTTCCTTCTCACAAGACGTAGGATTTCTTGTTTGTATATTACTAACTGTATTAAGGTTTAATAAAATCCAATATGAGGCATTGTTTTAGTATATGAAATTATACCTTTGAGCTCATATTCTGATTTGTAGGTTAATAATACAGGACTTAGGGAGGTTCTTTTCCAATTCTTTTTAAATTAGGAAGTGAAAGCAGGTGGGTTGGGGTGGGCCTCAGGATCTTGTGCCCTGCTCAGGTAAGCCACTGGCCTGATGGAAAATTGTAGTTGATCCACACTGGCTGAATGGGAAAAATTTCTGATACTATAAGGTGTAGGAAACCAGGGTATAGAGAGAGATAGCCCAATGAAGAAGGTTCACGCCCTCTTCATTTTCTTTTAGTTATTGGCTTGAGCTTAATTATTATATCATAATAGAAGGATGTTGCTGGATCACAGATATAGTCTTGATTTTTTCATTAAGATATTTTGAGATTTTCTCACTTCTAAGTACCTTCTTATTTCTAATTCCATGTGTTCACTAACACTCTGGAGGCCATACTTTATGACTGTGGCCACTATTTTGAGCTTTTGTAACACTGAGATATTTGGAGATTGCATAAACTCTTCCTTTAGAAGATTCTCCAACAGAACAGCATTCAAGAGTCCCCACTGAGTCCTCAGGCATAAGGCTATTTTTGCTTTACCATACTCAGATTCATGAGCATTAGAGGCACAGACCTAAACTTAAAAGTCTTTCAACATGTTCGTGAAGAAAAACAAGCCCAAATCCAATTTGAGTTACCCTCAATAGACCTTTCTGTGCAAAGCTAATATCACTCCTTATGAAGTAAATCTTAGTTTAGACTATTTTAAGTGTCACACATATTTAGATATTGACATACAGTACTGAAAGGTATTGTCTTGGGGATGACAAAACAATCTCCATTATCCCCACTGTCGATAGATAACAGGGGTATGTATGGCTTATCCAGAATGATGGATAGTCCAGAAATAATTTATTCTTTATTTTTGAGTGAATTTTTATGATCAAATTTGAATTTGGACATGCAATCTAGTGGTTAATGCTGAACCTAGTAGTGAAGTCACGGCCTGAAGAGATGAGTCACCCAGCTTACTTCATGATGGAAACAGCTCTCTCTCTTCCTGACTATAAGATTTCACTTAAGACTTCACTGGAACAGGATAGTTGAAAGTTGATTTACAAGGACTTCTTGGCTAAGTGCAAAAATAACCTAAATAGAGTGTGACGTCCACATCACAAAACGCTAAGTAAAATAGGTGTTAGCAATTAAAGATTTCAACCGAGTGACTAGTTAACCAAATATTATAGGTCAAGTTTGTCAGTATGAACAAAGGGTATACTGTACTTTCTGTAAAAGTGGTCTTCTTACTTTCACCATACACTGACATCATAAATGTTCTGATTCACTGCTGTCTTCCCTTTGCCCATGTGTTCCAGAAAAAATGTGAATCTTATACTTTTGAAAATACAGGTGGTTTATTTACCCTCTAATCCCAAATGAAGAATGCTTTTTCCTTAAATTCAAAATAGTGACATTTTCATAGTCATCTCTTGTCTTTGGAATCTGTCCACTTCTCTTAGTCTTACCACCTCCGTTGTCCAAGCTACTATTATCTCTCTCGCCTGGACTGTAGCAGTAGCCTCCCAGCTGTTTCCATGGACGTGCTCTTGCCTCCTTCATTCTGTTCACCACATGGCAGCCAGTCATCTTTTTGACATGCATCTCATTATGGCATTCCCACATATATAAAGTCCATTTCTCCTATGCTAAAGATCAGTGTTTTTAACTTGGCCTGTAATGCCTGAATGGTCCTGCCTACCTGGCCAGCCATATCTCATGTCACACCACACCAACCACCGTGGTCTTCTTTTCTTGATCGTTCTACGTTTCCTCCGCCACCCTGAGGGTTTTGGATGTGCTGTTCCCTCTCCTTTTCCACTGGTTAATTCCTACAAATTTTTCAAATTTCAGCTTAGTTGTTACCAAGGCCAAATATTTTCTATTAAACATTCTTATAGGACCACATACTTCCTCTTCACAGCAGTTACTACAATAATTTTCAATTCATTTCTGTGATTCTTTGATTAATTTTTGATTCTAGACTGTAAAGCCCATGGTGGTAGATACCATGTTTTGCTCACCATTGTATCCTGTGCCTTGAACAGTGCCTGTCACATGAGAGGAGCTTAGTAAGTGTGTGTTGAATGAATGAGTGAACAATTAATTTCTGAGCGTGAGAAGCCAGAGAGATATGGAAACTCACAAGATTTCCTCTCACTTGATACTCGTTTAATGGGGAAAAAAAAAAAATGTTAGGGGAGGGGAACAGATGTGCAACACCGAACCCTTCTGTACTTACATTTTCATTGGCTTTGCAAATAGTTTAATATGCAGTTGCAAATAAGCTGTTATAGTTCCTTTTGTTTTATGAGACTGGCTTGGTTTTTGTTTTGTTTTGTTTTTTGAGAGTTTAGTATTTTTATTGTACTGAGCACATACATAAGGCAAAGAGCCATAGTATATTATTATATTATTATTAGCATATTCTTTATTACAAATCATAATTTTTCTTTATGCCCTTTACCCAACATATCACTGCCCAAACCCTCTCCCTCCCTCTCCCCCATCTCTAGTATCCTTAGGTTTGTTCTCTCCTGAAAGTTCAACGTATTGTTGTGGTCTTTTCTTTCTTTCTTTTTCTTCCTTCCCTCCTTCCTTCTTTCTTAGCACTCAGTTATAAGTGAGAACATGCAGTATTTCTCTTCCCTTGTCTGGCTTATTTCACTTAACATAATTTTCTTCAGACTCATCCTCATTGCTGCAAATGGCAGAATTTCATTCTTTTGTGTGGCTGAGTAGTATTCTATTGTGTATATATACCACATTTTCCCATGGATGGGCAGTGGTTAGTTGGTCCCATATTTTGGCTATTGTAAGTAGAGCTGCGATGAACGTGGGAGTGCAGGTCTCCCTTTGACATGATGATTTCCATTCCTTTGGATATATACCCAGCAGCGGGATTGCTGGATCATCCGGTAGTTCTATCTGTAGTTGTTTGAGGAACCTCCATACTGTTTTCCATAATTGCTGTGCTAATTTACAGTCCCACCAATGGTGTAGATGAGTCCCCTTTCCCCACATCCTCTCCAGCATTTGTTATTCTCAGTCTGTTTAATAATGGCCAGTCTAACTGGGGTGAGATGATATCTCAATGTGGTTTTGATTTGCATTTCTCTGATGATTAAGGAAATGAATGAGGACCATAGCACACCCAAGAAAGAAAAGCAAGAGCGGATATCCAAGCATAAAGAGAATTTGCAGCACACACAGGCTGAAGAGGAAGCCCACCTTCTCACTCAACAGAGACTGTACTACGACAAAAACTGTCGTTTCTTCAAGCGGAAAATAATGATCAAGCGGCACGAGGTGGAGCAGCAGAACATTCGGGAGGTATTTATTATGTTTGTAACCATTGTCATTGATTTATTAAGCTATGTGAGGCCATGTCTGTTTTGTCCATTCCTGTATCCTTACCTTTTATAGCCTTTAGCACAGTGTCTGCCATAGAACAGGTATACAGAAAAAGTCAGGAAATTAATTTACCATTGATAAAAGAAAGCCCATTTGCAGAACGAGAAAACAGCTTTTTCTAAATAAATGTAATAGAATTTTATTGAACACATATTATAGGCCATATCATGCAGTTAAGAATCAAAAGAAATAGAATAGAGAATTTTTGCTTTCAGCCTGCTTGTCAAGGACTTGTGTTTTTGTAACTCACATGAAAAATTAAATGACAGTATGATGCTCTATAATTGAGTTCATTCATTCAGTCATCCAACATGTACAGGGTGCCTCCTTTGCCGGGCACAGTGCTTTGCCAGGCACTGTGCTAGATGCCAGCGCTACCCAGAAGCTGTACTCCCTTCCTTCAAGTGGCCCCAAGTCTAAGAAGAGAAACAGGCTTGTAATAGACTAATTACAATATAATACGTTAGGTACAATAGTAGACATAAATAAAGTATCATGGGTATATAGTCGTGAATGGGCTTGGAGGATTCGGTGATTGATGAGAAGTTAGTGTGCCCAGAGTTCTGGGTGTGTGGAGTAGAGCGGCAGAACAAGAGGAGTCGGAAGCAGAATGTGGAGGGCCTTGTCTAAGGCAAGGCGTTTCGATTTTAGCCTGAAGGCAGTGCATGGCCATCAGAGGCTTTTCAGCAGGGAGGGAAGCGAACTGATGACATTTTCCAGTGTTTTGAAGAATTAGTGTGTCCGTACAAGAGATAGGCTGGAGTGCTGAGAGGCAAAGTGCAGTGAGGTCAGCTAGGTTGCTCTTTCTCTAGTTCTAGCCTGGAAGGGACAGTGGGGAGGGAGGGGGGAGATTAGATCAGAGTAACATTCCTGAAGCAGAACTGACCAAATGGAAGTGAGAATTTCAGAAGAAGGAGGAGTCACCATTTACGTGCACGCTTAAGATCTATACTATTAGCAAATTACAAGTATGCAATACAGTATTGTCAACTATCATCACCATGCTGTACATTATCTCTCCAGAATTACTCATCTTTCATAACTGGAACTTTAAACCATTTGATCGATATCACCCCATCTCTCCTTTTTTGGTGATCTCATTCCACCCAATCTCTACCTTGAAACAATCACGCTAATGTGGCATATGTATTTCCAGATTTTTTTTTCCTGTATACATACGTACAGTTTTTATATTATACATGATTTTAACTTTACAAAAATGAGATTACTCTGTATCATTGGGGTTATTTGATTTGTAAGCAGTAGGAACAAACTCTGGCTGACTTAAGATGGAAAGGAATTTACTGGAAGGATATGGGGTAGGTGACAGCTGAAGAATCAAGCCAGAAAAGATGAAGAACCAAGCTGGAAAAGCAACTTTCTGTGTCCTAGAGAGCAGAAGATAACAAATGCTCCTCAAGGCACTGCCATTTGGATGTATCGCCTCCAACCATTTTTAACTTTTGTATCATTTCTGTTCAATATTCAAATTCCTGGGAGAAAAAGAACAGGATTGGATAATGTGCCTATTCCTTGCTCAGCACTCTCCCTGATTCGAGATAGGGTGGAGTAGTTTCTTAAAGCAAAAAAGGGAGCTTGTAAACAAAGGGAAAATGGATGCTGAGCTACAAAAATTAACAGATGTCCACTATACTGTTTTTTTGTTTGTTTGTTTTTGTCTTTTTTCATTTACTATCTAGCAGGTACAGCTCTGCCTCATTCTTTCTAACCTAGTAGTATTTTGTTGTATGGCTATAAAATCATTTATTTAATAAGGCACTCACTTTTCAGTGGACATCGTGCTTGAAGTATTACAATATTACTAACCACGCTACAGAGGACACCTTTGTACATAGATATTTTCCACATACGCAAGTTTTGTTTTCTTGGTTTTTTGTTTTGTTTTGTTTTGTTTTGGTGGCTGGCTAGTACAGATGTTTGAACCCTTGACTTTGGTGTTATAACACTGCGCTGTAACCAACCGAGCTAACTGGCCAGCCCTATATACAACTATTTTTGTAGGATATATTCTTAGAAGTGAAATTTCTGAGTCAAAGAGTAAATACAGTCAACCCTCCATATCCATGGGTTCCACATATGTGGATTCAACCAACTGTGGGATGAAAATATTTGGGAAAAAAATTGCATCTGTATTAAACATGTATATTCTTTTTTTCTTTGTTGTTATTCCTAAACAATACGATAATAACAATTATTTACATAGCATTTGCACTGTATTAGATATTATAAGTATTCTAAAGATGATTTAAAGTAAACAGGATGTGCATAGGTTATATGCAAATATTGCACTATTTTATGTAAAGGACTTAAGCGTTCATGGATTTTGGTATCTGAGGGAAGTCCTAGAATGAATCCCCCATGGATACCAAGGGACAACTGCACATCTGAATATTTAAATAGATATTGCCAAATTGTCTTCTAAAGGGGTTTATACTCCCACCAACAAAGCATAAGAGTGCATGTTTTCCTATATCTTTGCCAAAAATGAATATTAGCAACCCTTTTAATAATGAAAACATTTAAAAGGACCACCATAAACTGGGTTGAACCTCTTCTATCACCACTGCACACAGACACTCACCATTTTCTAACCAGTTGTTGAAACTAAAACCTGAAACTGAGAAAGCATTAAATATCATAGGCTAACAACATCTCCATTTAAGTTTGAATTCTAGTTTCTTACTCACCCTCAGTGGACATGAGAATACAATTTTGGCATGAGTGAGATCAGCTTCTTTTAAAGAAGTCAGTATCACCTCCATTGGAACTGAAAATAGAATGCTTGGAACACAGTTGGGGAAGGGGGTATTAGGGAATGCACCATGGGGCCATGTCTTACACAGCAGGTAGAGTCACATAAAGTATGGTAGTGTGTTTAGGGACCATGTGGTATGAAAAGTACACACATTTCAACACTGAGCCCACACTCAGCTTGGCAAGATGCTCACAGCATATGATGTGGGCTCAGGGAAAGGGAGCTACATGTCTCTCACCTACACTCACTCCAGGGCATACATACATTGAGTGCACTGCTGGACAGAATCGCCTATAGCATTGTTTGGTTTTTTTTTTGGTTTTGCCCCCCTCATTTTTTTGAATTCGTATAAGCTAAAGGTACACATGATGTGGCTCAAATGTATATTGTGTCTTTTGTACAGATAGAGCAGCAATTGTGTCTAGCTAAAGCAGAGGAACTCCTCAGAATATATTGCATCACACACTGAAAAAGCATAAAACAGGAAAATATAAGCCATTCATTGGGACATCTTTTATTGAAAAATGTTGAAAATCAAAAATCCCACATTTTAGCTTCAGTTCTGCTTTATAGAAGTTGTATGACCTCAATTCCCACATGACTTACTATTCATAGATAAAAGGGGTAAATCCTGCAGTCTTACCATCTCTTAGGGTTGCAGTTAGGATTGCATAAGATATATGAAATAACTTTTAAAAATTGAAAGCACATTACACATTTTTATGTAGGCACAGCACCGAGTTCATGAATAATGATTTTTTCCCCATGTTTTAAAATATTCTAGGCAGCTTACCATCTTACACATCAGCAACTTAGATGTACAAACTAAAGGTAAAGGGAACAACCAAGAATTGTAACAGAAAAACCATTTCAGTATAAGATTTCTCTCACTCTTCTAATAGTTTATAGAATCTACATTTAAGATATTAAGAGGCACTTCTGAATACAGAAAAATAATAGTCACATATTTATATATTCTGAAGCATTTTTTTACAGTCTTTCATTTCGTCTTCACAAGCATGGTAATTCATCATGGGTACCGTTATCCTCACTTTACACCTGAAGAAACTAAACCATAGATTAAGAGCCTTGACCAAAACAATATACAGTGAGTCAGTGGAGAAGCTGAAAGTGACTCACACCCTGAGAGTTTTTTTCCATTGATTCTTGAACTTTAGTAGGTATTAGTATTAGCTGTGTAGCTTGTTATAAAGACCAATCACTTCTAACCCAAGAGAGAAGCACTTGACTTCTAAAAAATGTTTGTTTGCTTTGTCTTTTATTTTGTCCCCCCGCCTACCCTCCATGAATTTCAGGGCTCTGGGCAGTTCAGACTCAGTTTGGACTTCTCAATTTAGGAAAATGTGGGATATATAAATGCTCAATATTGGGACTCCTGGAACTCAAAGGCCAAAAATGATACATTGACGTAGGAACAAGACCTTTACCCATTTTAAATGGCTTTCTCTTGGTCCTTGGTCTGGGATAGCATTAATCTGTGGGAAGGGCTCGCTGTCCTTTGGTGCCACCTAGGGGCCAGTTACTGATTTTTAAAAGAAGAAATTTGATGGTCTGGGTAAAGAGGAAAAATAAAACAAGGAAAAGAAAAAACACAGGAGGAGATGGGGTAAGATGCTCTAGGAGATTATCTTTTATTCCTTAAAACAAATTTAAATTGCATTTATACTTTGGATATTTCTGCACTAGAAAATAAGTTCCACGAAGGGATGTACTTGTTCACTGTTCTACTCCCAGTGCCACAACAGTGCCCAACACATAGTAAATGCTTGACAACTATTTCCTGAATGAATAAATGAATGATTAGTGACTGGGCTCTGGTATTAGATCCTGTGCTGTTTAAAGGACTTCTCTTCAAATGGATAGAGGGCCCAAGTATACAAGATATTCTCACCCATAGCAATAGACAAATGTTATTGATATTTCTATGCAAACAAAGGACTTGCGTTTTCTCCCATAATGGATGCTATCAGAGAAGAGAGGCACCCTATTGTTCTAATTTAAAGTCCAGCTCAAAAGCTTTCTCCTTTCTGTGGCCTTCCTAACTAGTAATAATACCATCCTTTTCAGAAATGTTATAGCATAAAATCTTTACCTCTTTATAGTACTTATCACTTTCAACCTTGCTCTCTTTTCTTTTAAATTTGCACATAAAACTTATTTTCCTGTACTAATTAGTTATTTGGTTTGCATGTTAATTGAAACTTATTTTAGCTAGCTTAAGCCAGAACCAGAGAATTTACTATAGAAATATTGGAATGTCTCATAAAACCCAATAGCAGTAATACAGCTGGACTTACAGGAGGGCTTAGAACTAGTCAGGAACTTGGGCATCAGTATGTTCCCTGCACTTTTTTCTTCTCTCTTTTTTTATTATTGTTGCTCCAAATCCCAGCTTTCTGTAATCCTCAGCTGTCATAGCAGTAGATGACTACCATACATGCAATTTTTATATGCCCCTCAATCCCAGTCACACATAGAGATTAACTGGTTCTGAATTCCAATTCCAAATTCCTAGTAGAGAAAATAGATTGGCCCAGTTGGGCCACGTGTCTACCTCTGATTCAGCTGTGAGCTGAGCATATACTTCAGTAAATGTCTATTACACTTTTCTATCAGAGTGTTAGCAAGTTGAGGACAGAAGTCATGGCTTAGTAAACATTTTTAGGTACCCAGAGCACATGGTTCAGATATTTATATAGTGCCATTTAGGAACTATTATTGCATTGGTGAATGAAAAAAATTTCACCCAACTTCCCCTGTTTTTCTAGTTTGCTTTCCTTCACCCCTTCAACAACCAAAAAGAAAAAATGAAAGACATGAGTAGAACTGAAAAGAACAGAGTAATTAGATCTAGAGATGATCAAACAGACTGTAATGGGAGAGATGAAAGGGAAGAGATCTCATCTGCTTTTTCCCAGCATGCCCTGAACTCTGAGACTTTAAAAAATGGATAATTGGCCTACTTCTGATACATGCAAAAACAGGGTATTTCCCAGAAAGCTAAGAACATTGCAGATACTATCAGTTTAACTCAGTTAAATTCTCAGACCTGATTGCATATTATAATCACCCAGAAAACTCTTAAAACTAATTGACATCAGGGCCCTATCCCAGACAGTTATCAGAATTTCAGGTTGTGGGACTCAAGCATCTTATGTTTGACAAGCTTCCTCACGTGATTTTAATGGGCAGCCACAGTAAAGAAGCTCTGGTTTAACTGAAGAAACATTTATTTAAACCTATGCATGGCACATTACCTTATGAAGGTTCACAGCAACTCTTTGAGGTAAAAGGGAGTCTGGTAGAATTAATCCCATTTTACAGATAGTGCAGTTGTGATTGCTATGAAGTTGCCCATCTTGTAAGTGGTAGACCCATGAGCAGAATCTAAACCTCCAGGGATTTTTACTCTAATCTCATTAAGTCCTGCTGCCAAACACTAATGGGCTTAATTAAGAGATTGTTAGTAGTGCTATTCCTTGCCATCCCTCATGTAGTTGTGTATTCCTCCCAATTTGTCTCCATTCATCTCTCTCCACTTATCTTTTGTTCCTAAATGCAGGAACTAAATAAAAAGAGGACACAGAAGGAGATGGAGCATGCCATGCTAATACGGCACGATGAGTCCACCCGAGAGCTAGAGTACAGGCAGCTGCACACGTTACAGAAGCTACGCATGGATCTGATCCGTTTACAGCACCAGACTGAACTGGAAAACCAGCTGGAGTACAATAAGAGGAGAGAAAGGGAACTGCACAGAAAGCATGTCATGGAACTTCGGCAACAGCCAAAAAACTTAAAGGTAAGAGGAGACAGAAGTAGTTTCCTATTTGTGCTCCTGGGCAGTGTTGGACTGGATCAGTGGTATCTACACCTGGGTGATTGTCAGAGTAACCTGGGCAACTTTTCAAAACCACAGATTTCTGGGCCCCACACCTACTGAATCAGAATCTCCATATGTAAAGCACAAGAGTCTGTATTTAACAAGCTCCTGAAGAGATGTTGCTAGGCAAGCTGGTTTGGAAACCATACTACATGATCTCTTAGTTTTTCTTTGTATCCATTATGTAATTTCTCTGAGCCCTTCATGACCTGCCCTCTTCAAATTGGACTAATAGCAGTCCATGGTTCTAATCCTAGGAAATGAGAAAGTTATATTGGTAGTAGCTACCTTGAGTGCTACTGTAATGGGAAGGACTCTAAAGCCACTTCCAAACTTAGCAGAAAAGAGTGTGATTTATTAGTAATGTCTGTCATGGGAATCAGGAAGGAATCTACTTTTGCCAAGCATTTACTACTCCTGCACCAGAGATATGTGGAGGAGCTCCTTTGGCCCTCACTGCCTTCAGCTAGTTTTAGCTGACCACTAATTAACATTCTCTGTGTACTAAGCCACTGCTATGTGTTAAGGAGGACATTGTCAATGTTGGCACAGATGTGAAGCCAACCTCAATCACACTGGTCATGCACTTCTTTTAGCCAAATCCTAAGCTGTCTAATTAGTGATCCCTGTCACCATAAGTCCTCAAATGTTCATGAAATGCATTCATGACTATGGGGCAACCTGATGGAATGCCTTCTAGATTTAAAATAATACATTCCACCTTCTCCTTGCCAAAATGCACATTTGATATTGCTAGATGCAAGTCAATCTCTGAATGGGGCCAAAAATCTAAAATCACATTTCTCTTTCAGTTTGTGCTGAAATCCAGTAGAAATGGGTTAGGATGTAAAGTACTACCCAGATGTTCTCCTTTATTGCTTTGTTGAGGAATTGCTATAATCCAGAGCAGTGAGAACTGGCTTGTATAATGCTATCCTCTTTCTCACTTGGAAACAGGGGGAAATAGCAAAAAGCAAACAAAAAAAGGGGGGAGGACAATAAACAATAGAAGACAATGAAAATAATTACCAACCTTTTAACAATCTAAGCTTCAAAATATTCCACAATCTGTTTAGAGTTGTCATCCCTCCATTTTGATTTTGAAGCCATTTGTAAATTCAAAATTACTTCTGTTCATTTAATATGAAACCAAAAAGCATTCATAGGGTTAACCCTTGTCTGTGCCGTATGTATTATTTTCATTATTATTGATTAGTAATGTGGATCACTGTACCAAAAGACAGATGGTTCCAACACTTGTATCATTATAATGGAAGGTTTTCTGTATTTAATGATACGTCTTTATTTTCCCTTTGTCACTTTTCCTACACAGGCCATGGAAATGCAAATTAAAAAACAGTTTCAGGACACTTGCAAAGTACAGACCAAACAGTATAAAGCACTCAAGAATCACCAGTTGGAAGTTACTCCAAAGAATGAGCACAAAACAATCTTAAAGACACTGAAAGATGAGCAGACAAGAAAACTTGCCATTTTGGCAGAGCAGTATGAACAGAGTATAAATGAAATGATGGCCTCTCAAGCGGTAAGTGGTTAGGTTTGGTGCCACGGCTTCAAGAGCTTTGGGAGTCAAGAAAATTCAAGATCCAGCTATTTGTTTCCAAGATGATTCTTGCACAAATTTAGGAAATTGGTGTTTTTCTGCCCAAAGAACTGAGGAAACGACGACGCTGAGTAAAGCCAAGCCAATGCGGATACTTGCTGGAGTGTGTCTTATAAGATGGAACTCAAGGAATGATGGCTAAATCAGACCTGGGGCACATAGGGACTTTAAGGGCGAGATGTGATAGATACTGCATATAATATCATGTGATTTACTGACTACCCACCCCTTCCCACCAGCACCACCACAACTGATGTCAAGCATGAATGAATAAGACACAGTCCCCACCCTTAGGGAGTTCACAGTCAAGTGAGGAAGACAGATACACAGACACATTCATTCAATAAACTTTTGCTAAGCGTCTGTGTTCAGCACTGTGCTGAGCTCAGAGATAGAGCAATGAGATAGATAGACCACTGGGCTCTGTCTTCACACTTTTGTCAGACAAGCCAGGAGGTGAGATAACTAAGCTATAATAATGAAGCACAGTAGGTGCTTTGAAGTTGAAGGTTCTGGGTGCTATGGGAGGACAAGTGGGAACAACTAATCTGGTCTAGGGAAAGCTTCCCAGTGGGCTCCAAGAGGCTTAAGGGAATTCATCGAAGTGAATAGGTTCCTTGAAAATGGACCTACACAGTCCAAACAATGAAAAGAGTACAGATGGGACTGAAAGAACTTTGGTGTGAGCCCAGAGTTTAAGGATGAAGATTGTGGGAACTCAAAATGGAGAAGTCATAAAGGTCTTGGCAAGCCAGGAATGGGAGCTTGCCTGGTAATTCAGTGAAGATTTCACAAGGAGATGGGTCTTAGAGAGTAATAGTTTACAAACAGGCAGAAGAGGAAAAGTTATTCTTGGCAGAGGATACAGTATATGCAAAGATTCAAAGTCTTGAAAAAGGATGGCAGATTTGAAAAACAGTGAGTAGTTGCTATGGCAGGAGTGTAGAATGCTTATTTAAGGAAAGCAGGTGGAGAGTCAGGGGTCAGATCCTCAAAAGCCAGGAGTTTGGACATTAGTCTGTAATAATATTTACAGACTAATGAGCTGTTTTAAAGCCTGTTATATAAAGAGCTGTCGAAGCCTGTTTTAAGAGGATAAGATTTGTGTTATAGATAGATGTTGGAAGTAATGTGGCAGAGATAGGTAAAGAAACCTGTTATGAAGCTATTGTAATAGTCAAGGGAGAAAAAAATGATGAAGGCCTGAACTGAGAGAGCATGCTAATGGAGATGGGGAGAGGGAGAGAATTTGAGAAATATTTAAGAGATAGAATAGATAGAACTTAGTGACCAACTTGAGAGGTAGTCTTGACAACAGAGTGGAGTGGTATAAGTCATCATTTTACCAAGATAGAAAAAGAGAAGTGGGGAATGAGTTTGGATGCCTGGGGAGATAATTGGCCAAGCTATAGATATGGTATCTGAGCTATGTGGGTGTCCAGGCAGAGAGGTACAGATATGGAATCTGTAGTTCAGGGGGGATATCAGGATTAAAGTTAGACATCACTGCTATATGCGGCAGTTGTAGCTGTGAGGAATAGAGGAGATCTGCTAAGGACGGGAGATAGTATTAGTGAGGAGGGGGACTAAGGACACAGAGACTGGTGGATACCAGCCCTTGAGGGCTGAGTGGAAGTAGACAAAAGAAGATGAATAATCAAAAACATGAAGAGAGCATGTCACAGAAGTTTGGTGGGGTTTTTTTGGGGTTTTTTTTGGTGACCAGTAAGGGGACCCTAACCCTTGACTTGGCATTGTCAGCACTACGCTCTCCCAAGTGAGCCAACCGGCCATCCCTATATAGGGATTCGAACCAGTGGCCTTGGTGTTATCAGCACCACACACACCCTATCTGAGCTATGTGGGTGTCCAGGCAGAGAGGTACAGATATGGAATCTGTAGTTCAGGGGGGGATATCAGGATTAAAGTTAGACATCACTGCTATATGCGGCAGTTGTAGCTGTGAGGAACAGAGGAGATCTGCTAAGGACGGGAGATAGTATTAGAGAGGAGGAGGACTAAGGACACAGAGACTGGTGGATACCAGCACTTGAGGGCTGAGTGGAAGTAGACAAAAGAAGATGAATAATCAAAAACATGAAGAGAGCATGTCACAGAAGTTTGGTGGGTTTTTTTTGGTTTTTTTTTTGGTGACCAGTAAGGGGACCCTAACCCTTGACTTGGCATTGTCAGCACTACGCTCTCCCAAGTGAGCCAACCAGCCATCCCTATATAGGGATTCGAACCAGTGGCCTTGGTGTTATCAGCACCACACACACCCTAGTGAGCCACGGGCTGGTCCTAAAACAGAAGTTTCTCATTGATGATCTCAAATGTTGCAGAGACCAATTAAAATAACAGATGTTGAGGTGTTCATTGGATCTAGCAGTGGATTTGTCCGTTGCTTGCACAATCGGTGGAGTGATGGAGTTGGGAGACATTATAGTGCATGGAAAGAGTGATTATAACATGAGATAGAAACTGTAAGTGAAAATCTGGCTGGTGGGCTCAGTTGGTTAGAGCACAGCCTTATAACACCAAAGTCATGGATTCAGATCCCTGTACCAGTCAGCTGCAAAAAAATTAAAATGAAAAACACAGAAGAAACTAAGTGAGACTGCTTTTCCCAGATCCTCATCAGAGAAGGAAAAGAGAAAGAGAACTATTGCAAGAGAAGGAGATAGTTAAAGGAAGACTTCTGTTAATTGGGAGGGGCTTAAACATGTTCTTTGGCTGAGGATGGGAGCTAGTGCATTTATTCATTCATTCGTCCATCCATCCATCCATTCATTCACTCATTCATCCATTCAGTCATCCATACATCCATGAATTCATCCATCCATCTAGTATTTATTGAGTGCCTACACTGTGCCCCAGGCATCCCAGGATACTGTGGGGAATAAGACAGTCATCAATCATGTCTTCATAGAATTTATAGAGGAATGGAGGAAACATACATTGAAAAATTCTACTCCATGTAATGGCAGAGCAAGTGCAATAGCCAATAGAGTGTAAAACAGGAGAGCTAGCCTCTTCTGCAGAGTGGGGAAAGGCTTCCCTGACATATGATTATTTAGGCTGAAGAACTGTATCTGTAAAGATGGGAAAGACAGTGGTGCTTCTGAAGAATTCACAGAAATCAATCATGTTTGGAATGTAGAGAACTAGGAGACTTG